GGACCAATTGCTTAAATAACGGAAAATTCCTCTCTTGAGCTTTTGACTAATGGCAGTCGTATGTTATGTTTGCGTCCCGGGGGAATGCATTGCTATTATTTTAACAGAGACAACCCAACAAAAACACGGGCCTCTGTTGAGTGTTTACTGTATAATGGGTGTGACAGGCTACCTTAGCCCAATTCGGAGGTCACTGCTGGTGTTTCCTACGAGGTATGACAGTTTTACAACGGCAGGGGCTCAGACTCGGATCGTTTCTGACATCTTAGACTGCTGCTGCTCTCCGTCTCTCTCACAATCTCTCCCCTTTTTCTTTCGCTCACTTTCTCCTCTTCGGCCTCTCCGACTCTCTATCTGAAACACTCGCTTTTTCTTTCTTTCATTTTCTTTCTCCCTCTCACACACACACACACGCACGCAGGCAAGAAATTATATCAAGCCTTTCTCAGCCGGACTCAAAGAGGACTCTTGAGCATATTTTAAGCCTAAAGTCTTAATCTCTCATAATAGGCTTCTTTGTGGAAGTGGAGGAGGAAGCCCATATATTTCCTCTTAAACAGCCCTCTGTTGGTGTTGGAGAGGGGTTAGTTGTGGTGATACCCTAACAAGCATTAGAACAACAAACTACAAATGCCATAAGGCTAGAATTTTAAAAAAAAATGCAGCACAGTTAAATTGCAGTAATGGCACCAGGAGATTACGCAACATAACACAAAAGCTATTTCGAACAGCACAAGGATTTTCAGGGGCAACATTATGTGGCTGCTACATTGGTATGTGGAGCTTTTCCTGCAACACGTAGTGCTCACACATTACATTCAGCCTGTAACACAGTCTATAACTGTTATATCCATTATTATGCGCCACAGCTGTAAAAGTGTGAGGGAGCCCTGAGTTCGCCTTGTTTTGCTGTTTTTCTGCAGGCAGGAATTCTCTGTCTTTGCTGGAGCTTTAAATGCACACAGAGAAGCCGAGTCAGCCAAGGCGGCGCAGTGTTGTTCGGTGGGACGGTGGCAGCAGAGCAGGAGCGATTCAGATGTTCTTTATCTTCCTGCTGCAGAGTGAAATGTAGAGGAATGTAAGCTGTACATTTACAGAGGCCCTGAGGAAATATAATACTCCTTCTGCATTGTGGCTGTGCTAATGTAATTATGCATAGTTCCTGCACTAGCTAAAGAAAAGATTGCAATGCACGAATATAAACATTGTCTGCAAGACAATTTTATTTTAATAATAATATTGTGATTATTGTGTCTTTTTTTTTAAAGCGAGACCTAGGCGGAGCAGGTCAAGAGGCTGATTCTGTCAACAAGATATTCATTCCAGCTTTGAGCAAAGTTTAAGAGAATTCATGGGGAAATAAAATATGTATACCTCAAGTACATGTACAAGTATATATAGGCTACAAGCAGTCTGCACACACACACTACATTTTGGCCCAGGCTCTGTGATCTGATTTTGAATGCAGCATCTTGTTTGATGTCTTTTTGATGATGGACATGAAATAATGTCCAAATCACCACAGGCTGGAACATCAAACAGTTTCAAATGAAAACACGGTAATGCCTCCTTGGACTGAGCCGTATTGCGCCTTCATTTGCCACTGCCCCATGCAAGCCGGGCTTTGACTGCGCACGGATAAAAGATGAGTCGATAAATGAGACACTTTCATCTCCAACAAACTTTGACAACTTTTTTCATTTGCAGCGCAAACACTGCATGGCTAATATGCTGCATCATAATATAATCAGATAATCACAGATGGTGATGTCAGCGACTCAATGAGGAGTCAAAGGTGGAGGGAGTAGCTTTTGAAGAGGATGAATGGTCGGAAATCATCACGGCGGGATAAGGAGAGCCCAGGATGCGCTGATCTTCGTATCAAGGAGCCCTCCAGCCTTATTGAGGGAGAAGACGAGATCGTCTATATATTGTTCAATTTCAGAATCCAATGTTCTTTAAGATAATAGAGTGAGCGAGCTAATACAGAGCACAGGTGACTTAGTGATAATGAACCAATATATATGCATCATGCAAAACCGATCCTTATGCTTGACAAAAGGAGCTCAGCACATTCATTCATCATGATTTTGTCTGTTATGAAAACGCAGACGGGGAAACTTCCCCTCCTCGTTGTGACATCACACCCCCCCCCGAAGGGTTAGTCTCATGTGAAGCCAGTTGTGAGCCGCCATGTCGATTCTCCTGTGTTTATAATAAAGAAGCTTTCGCAGACAATGCCTGGCCCATTCCCGATGAAGCGTGAGCAGGTCATCGACTTTGCATTATATTTGATTTATATCTGAACAGAAGCCAAGTTTCCGTATAATTTACAGACCGGTTCAGTGTCTCTCCGGGCTTTTTGGATGGCTCTGTGTAAACTGAGAGGCTGATGTTCAAACAACAAGGCAGAGAGCCACAGTGGACTCAGAGCTTTGCCTTGGCCTCTGCGTCAAGTCTCTTGACAGCAAACTGGCACCCAGCTCCAACTAATAAAGTGCACCACCCAGATCCTCCAGCGGCTGTATGTACTGCACGTCTGCTGAGTGTGTGTGTGGTCAGCTGGAGCAGGACACTCCTGGAAAGCCACGGATGAAAGACATATCGAGCGCTAAATCTGCTAAATCTATGATGTGAGTCTCATGCACTCTGTCTCCTTTTCGGATGATGTGCTTACAGTTCAGCACATGGAACGACTTAGACACCGATCAAAAATGATTACGGCACATCTTGTTAAACTTGCATAATTACTGTCACTGTGTATTCTTACAGTGGCAGTTAAAGGATGAGGCTGCCAATATTTTACATTTTAGTCATGCTGACATCCTCACATGCAAAATAGAGGTTTAATTAATTTGTCATTAAGATAACAGAGAACAGATTAATGTTAAAATTAAATTAGTGACATGTTCATCCTACACTGTTTTGTGCGATGTATCACAAGCTGTCATTTCTTTCAGATTGCAGGTGCTTCACAGCCATCATTTCTCAAAACATGCACCACAATTTAGTTTTTTTACTGAGATATTTGGGGGTTTTTCAGCTCTTTTATTTTTCTGTTCTTCATTCATTCATTCAAATTGCTAAATATAATCCACAGAACGGTGTACAGTGATAGAGGTGTACAGTGACTTCATTGTTCTGTTAAAATCTCAAAGAGAACTGAAACAAAATAGAAGTCATCTGACTTGGCTTAAGCAGCAATGATAAAGGGAGATTTGATTTTGGCTGCAGTGATGAAATTTCTCCTTTTACAGGAGAAATGAAGTCTTGTGCTGCTCGAATATAAAATGTTCCTTTATTACAATGAAAGTGGGCACTGCAGTTTATTTGCTGCTGCAGTAAATCCTCACTTACGCGCCAAATGTGTATTAATCTGCAGCTGAAAGTAGTCCCCAATAAAACCTCCATTTATTCCTGTTAATGAAACTTTGTGAAGAAAACTACAGAGCCCTGATTCCTAAGGAAATTATTGAGAAAGTATATATTGGTGGCCAGTTCTTAAAGATGAATTTCTTTGTTAGGGAATGGAGGAGTTTGGTGGCTAAATGATTTCCAAGGGGTGTTATCAGCCTCTGAACGCAAATGGATAGACATAAAACCAATCGCGTGACGTATTGCAAAGCGACAGACAAATCTTAACAGACTACAGCGTGCAGAGATGGGCAGCATCAATATGTCTGGGAACAAGTGTTGCCGCTTTTGTAAGGTTTGCTAGCTGTAGTGTCCTCGGTGCAAGGGTGCGCAAGCCAAAAAATGACGTCATTACGTATTTTGCGTTGAGCACAAAGGCTCCACGAGTTGTCAGTCATTGTCTAAAACAACCCTACATTAGAGAAGCAGCCGTGATTGGTCCGGTCAACCTGAGGGCGGCTGGAAATCTGTCTTAACAAGAGGGGAACGCATCTTCCAGAGTGAATAAAACATGACTTTGCAGATGCTAAGGAAAGTTTGGACAGGCTAACACATTGTTAGTTTTGCTTTTTTTTAGGTTACTTGGTGACTCTACATTGCCTGCAGGTGTGAATGTGAGCATTAATGGTTGTCTGTCTATAGCCCCTTTTACACTGCCAGATTTTAGGCGAATGTTGGGCTGTTTTGCAGGTAAGCTGCGAGCGTTTAGACACACAGAGCCAGATTGGCGAGTTGATCCAAGGTGCCCAATTTTCCGCCTCGTAGGGTAGACATATTGGCGGAACCTTTTTGGTTTAAGAAGAAGGAGGCGGCCTTCCGCAACGGGAGGGGCTGTTGAAGACTTGTAGGAGGAGCTGTTGATGACGCGGCACATGCGAGCCACTGGCGGTGGATAAACAGGAAACAGCTGATAGCAGGAATTAGCGAGCAGCTAGTAGCAAGAGGGAAACACAAACCTGACAGACACTGTAAAGATGAGCAACTGGGGAGACAAGGAATTGCGCGCCCTCCTTGTCCTCGCAAACGAAGAGGCCATTAACCGTCAGATGACGGGGACGGTGAAGATCGGGCCGACTTACGAGAGAATCGCCGAAGGACTGACCAGCTGCAGCTTCCCTCCCACGTCACTGTTTACGTCACACGCTGAGCTACACGTTTTGTTACTTGCTCACGCCCCCCATTGCCCCGAAAAAGGCACATTCTGTATAAACAAAAATAGGCAGGCGGCATTTAACTGCACTCCCCGATTTTGTTTTTATACTGCCAATGCTGAAAAAAGACTGATTGGGCTTTCCTGCAAATTTGCACAATTCCTGTCTAAAAAGGGCTGATGTGTTAGCCCTGCGATAGCCCTGTCAGCTGGGGTAGCCTCCAGACCTCTGGCTACCCCCAACAGGACAAGTGGTTATGGAAAATAAATGAATAAATGAATGACCATGTCATGACAATAAAGGCATTTGAATTTTTTGAATTTTGTAGTGATTTTTGTGTTTCATGGGATTTGTTGATGATAACAAAAGCTATAAAATATCCCCAGTCTTGCCATTTTTCATTTCTTACACAACATGAATTAGTAGCTAGACATCTGCGAACAAGAAAAAATTCACATTTATTTGATATCAAACAGGAGTTGAATTAAATATCAGCTGATGATGGGCTCTTACAAAAGAAATAAAATGAACCTAATCAGTGCTGCAACAACTTTTCACACGTTCCAACCATGTTCTTTTTTTTCTCCTTTTTTTTAGTTAATAAATTAATTAGTGTCAAAGGATGAAATATGTCCGCCAAAACTACAGTATCGCCTTGACGCGAACATAAGTCTTTAAACCTGACAAATTTCTTTCAAGCAAAATAAATTACACAAGTTTCCAATTCACTCCAAATCTGTGCATGGCCCGGTGTTAACAAATATACTACTGGCAAAAACTCATCATTCATGAAAGCAAAAGCACTTCACAAGCAGAGATGTGAGCATGATTTCATATGGACTGATAGCTCCGAAACTTTTTTTAATATTCAATACATACTACAACGAGTCAAGTGTGAGAGGAAAAAGCACGTTTCCACCATTTGATTAACCTTGTCCCTAACCTTAACCTCGAAGAATCTTATTAACATTGAAAGGGCATAACTACTGAATGGTTGCCGTTTCCTTTTTTTTTTTTGTTCTTTCTTTCTTTTTTTTACTTTTTACACTAGTGGTACAGCAAAATATATTTTCTTTAGCTGTTACTTTGACAACAGTTAAATGTGCAATAGAGAAAATATAAGGCCTGAGTCTGAATTAGTGGTTTCTTAACTTTACAGTCCTGACTGTGTAGTGGAGCCACACTAGTTCTAGTTCTGTACTTCATGACTAAAAAGACCCTGGTTCTGCAAGTCCCCCAAGAATATGTCAGGAGTTTCATAGTTCTTTCCTTGGAGTATTTTTTCATCCCTTATTCTTCGACAGTACAGTACAACAGAAATGCCAGACTTATCTCTGACACGGCGGCCTGTGTGTTATTCTCTGCACCTCTTTAGTCCAACAGCAGAGCTTTCACAGTCCACATTTGTCTGGCCTCGAATGGACGTGTTTTGTGTGTTAATGGGATCTGTGTGCAAAAGTCATTTCTTCATTCCTTTTCCCACCCAACAGCATTTCACTTCCTGTCCTAACAGGAAGGGCATGTGGAGTGCGGAGCCAGACTTGCTGGCTCTCTTGACATCAACCGAAAGCACCCATCTGTTAAAACCTGTGCAAACAAAGAGGGCCGGCTCAGAGGCTGGTAATGAGCTGCATTTGTCCGTCGCTGGGCGCCTCTCCTTCCTGTGCGCAGTCTTCATTGTTCGGTGGGATGATGCACCCATCGCTGGTGCCTCGGTTTATGTGGTAGTAGGACAGGGGCTGCGGCGCATCGCCGAGCTCAGGCATGCTTTTATGATACGCGTCCTCGCTCTCGCTTCGAGGTGAAGGGGAGAGCTCCTCCTCCTCCTCTGGGGGGTACGGCGAAGCCGAGGGCGAGGGTGAGTCTCTCAAGTTTGGCATGCTGGTGTAAAGGGAGTCTCTGTTATTGTTGGGTGAATTGGAGCCCGCGTCCTCCACTGCAGTAACAGTCTCAGAGCCATGGCCGCCCTGCCCCTCCATGCGCCTGGGGGCCTTCTGGGCGCTGTAGAGCAGGGAGTGAGTCCTCTGGGGCAGGAGGGGGGCCTCCAGCGCCTCCTTGTGGTGGGGGTGCAGGAGCAGCTCCAGGGTGGCGTGGCCTCCTCTTCCACTTCCTCTCTGGGGGGATGAGGCCTCGGCGTGATCCGCCACAATGGCGTCATCCTCACTGCCGCTCCCGCCCCCACCTCGGTCCACTGTCACTCTGGTCTGCGGAGGCAAGGCTCTGTCCTGCTCCCTCGGGGCATCGCGACCTTTTGGGGCCCCGCGGGGCCTTAGGTTGTTGTGGACAATCTCAGAGATGATCATCTTCTCAAAGGCGGCATCATCCAGGTTGAGGCCCCCCAGGTCACCCGGGGCTCTGACACCCACGGTCTCATAGTCGTCGTCTCGCAGGGAGTAGCTGTTGTTGAAATTGCCATTGAGGGGGAGGGTGTCCATGGCACTGATGTCCCTGCTGTTGCTCAGAGAGTGCTGTCCTGCAACGAAAGGCAAAACGAGTGCGTGAGACATGATTTTTTTTTTTTTTTTTGCCTCTTGGTAGAACAAAACAGTGTCCACTACACCATCCACATACAACTTGATACTGCTCAGGACACTTCACTCTTGTGCTCTTTGATCTCTGGGTTAATTTTAATTTTATGCAAATACAAAAAAAGTTTTAAAAATCAAAGGAGAACCCAATAAGCTCCCCACCATATCCATCCTCATTATGGCTGAATATCATTATAGCCAATCTAAGAGATTATCCTGAACAATATTGAAGAGATGAGAACAAAAGATGACTTAAAACATAAAGAACAGAGTACAGCAACACGCTACAGAAGTAGCTGATGACCAGGTAACAACACAGCTGCATACAGAAAGCAACAGCAGAGGATGGGAGTAAAAGAAATAAATTAATACAAGCTGATGAGGAAGTGTTGTGACATTAACAATGAATAAAACATTCCACCTATTTTAAAAAGAAGGCAAGACAAAAGAGTAATGTCGAACACAGATGGCCAGCCACCTCTCTGCACTGGGGCCCCACAAGCACGGCAAGAACCCCCACACACCACGACAGACAGGCACGGTGCAATGACTCACTTTGCCAACACTCACATCAAGTGTGTCTGCTCAGGCTATGTGGCCTAAGAACAGCTGATGTGCAAAAAAAGTAAAACAGATGCTTTTTTTCAATTGCAGCAGAAACAACAAAATCACTGAAATAAGACCAAAGTGGAAAGCTTGTAACATCCAGCCTGGATTCAGTCGGTCCAACTCTTTGTGTCCTTGCAATTAACTGTAATTTCTTTTAGCCCCCGTGATGCTTTGGAGAATGACGGCGAAATTATGTGTTTAACGGTTTGAGAGAGCTAAAGGACAAATCAAGGACAACTGAATCCTGGACTCAGCAGGTGAAAGGGTTCAGCAGCAAGCACAGTCTTTTTTTTTTTCAACCTACAGTAAAAAGAGGAACATTTCTGTTGAAAATATTTTCTGAATGACACTTTGTTTTTTTTGAAGTGCACATCAATTTTATGTACTAACACATGCACACACACACACACACACACACACACACACAGCAGAGTACCCTAATTTTGGACAGCCCGGTGACTAAGCTCAAGTAGCAGGATGATGTGAAGAGGGCTAGTTAGATTTGATATGAGGATTTTATTCACTGGGTACACCATGAGCCTGTAAGGCTGATATTTTGCAGGGTGAGGGGGATGTCATCACAGGCAGGGAAAAAAAAAAAACACGGGAAAACTGCAGTCGTGGGTTTCGAATGAACGTGTCAGAAGAAGGATGATAGCAACTGAAAAAAAAAGCTCTAAAAACAACATCAAAGACATTTCTAAAAAGAGTGAAATGAGAGCACAGAGAGCAAAAGGGCAAAAAGAGGGGGGTGGAAGATTATTAGACACCTCTCTGAATAGACCCTACTTCCAAATTTGCATTTGTTTATGCACAGGCAGTGATTTTATTGCAGACAGGTATTGTCTACCGGGAGAGGGGGGGAAATGATGTGAACAGAATTCAACTGGACACGGCGACAGCTGCACTCTGGGAACCGTTCCAGCAGAGATTCATCCAAGATGTTCTCCTTACCGATTTTACTGCATCGGATGAACATCTGCAGAGCATTACTTAGTATTAATACACTTATAATAGAGGACACGCTCATCCTTTTCCAGGAGCTAAATGTAATGACTATAGCAGGCGAAATTTCGAGAAAGCTTATGTTAGACTTGACAGTCTCTCGGCACGTATTTCATACTTGGTTGGTGATCTTCACACCAGGTTTTGACATTTGTGTGTCTTGCCGTTTGCCTGCTATCCTCAAACTAGTTTCCATATGTTATTTTTTTTTCTTTTCTGTTTGTCACTGCTTTCTGTTGTGCGAACACAGCGAAGAGTAGCAGGGGACAAGACGCGTTTCTAAAGGTATAAAGGAGGTGTTTATGCTGACATGCAAAATCAAGTGCTAATTAAATATCACCACTTTTAATGTCTCTGGTGCTTCAGTGTTAACATGTGATTACAACAGTGATTAAACAGGTAAACATGTTAGGGCAATAAAGCACGAGCTGTCTGAACACACACTGACTTCTACGTCTGAGCTGCTGCTGAGCTCACAGAACGAAAAAAAAAAGGCAGAAAAAAAAGGGAAAGTCTTTGATTTTATTTGCAGTCATTGTTTGGTCCCAGCCCTGCTTCATTATCTCCGAGTGTGAAGTGTTCTCTCTGTGCTGTAAGCGAGCTCGCAGCACAACACAAGGCCGTGATGACTGCAGTAGGTTAAAGCTATACATTACTGCGTATCCTTACACACTTTCGCCATACTGCCATTTTTGTATATTCTCTTTTATCATCAAATGCCTGGGAATATCTGAGGGCTATGACTCTGCCCGCATTGCGTCATGAGCTTCTGTTTTTTTCTTTTTTTTTTTGATTGGGGTTCTTTCGCTCTGCCAGTGAGGAACTAGGTCACCATAAACACTGACATGATTTAAATTTATCTAATTGGAAGTAAACTAGAGACAATCTAAACATGATATCGTCCACCAATAAAGGGAAACAGCATAAATGATCCAGACCAGTGTGTGAAGCTCATATTCAACAGATAGGAATTCCCATATGACTGCTCAGCGGAGGAGATAAGATAGCACTGACGTCTGGGTTTATCTCCTTCTGTGTTTACAAAGGAGAACGTCGCTTCGATAAGAACTACTGGAAATACAGAGAGGGTGTGAATGAGGAAGAACAAACGGTAAATCTAGAGTAATTATTCTCATCATAATGCATTATGTGTCAGAGCCACAACCTCGAGATTTTTCATGTTTTTTTTTTAATATAAATCTAACACACTTAAAGGAGAGAGCTGAATGAGAGGATAAGTACCATTCTCATGACTGTTTGTTTATTATGAAGAAGCAGCCAGATGCTGCTTAGCTTAGCTTAGCTTAGCACAAAGACTGGAAACAAGGAAAAAACTAGCCTGGCCCCTAGGAAACATGTTAAATATATTTTGTTGAATCCATGTAAAGTGTGAAAACTATACTGTTATTTGCTATTTTACAGGAAGATTTTTTTTTTTTAAAGATTATTTTTTGGGCATTTTGTGCCTTTAGTGATGCATGAAAAGGGGGGAGAGAGACAGGCAGTCCCTCCAGGATCTCGCGGCAAAAAACACCCTTGAATTTGCGGCCAATTTTGTCAAAAATTGCGATAAAATTGCGGCATTTTTATATGATTTTTTGCGGGAAATTGCGGCAAATGACAAAAGGAGAAAAAAAGTGATTTTTTTAAAACTACTACCTCCAAAAAAAATAAGTCATGTATTCACTTGCTATAATAATCATACTGAATATTATAGTTCTAGTATTATTATATAGTTATAGTTCTCTATAGTCTCTAGTTTCAAAACATGGACTCTAATAATAATGTTGCCAAAGAACAACATGTAAGCTACATCTTCTGGAAACATAACATTTTAATAAATTCAACACATATTGGACGTATTTAAACAGTGCAAATTCTTATGTCAATACAGAGCGTTTTTCCATACTGCAATGCCATTAGAACGATTTGATGACGTTTCAAATGATGTTGCATGCGCGACGACTTCCGGTCGGGTGGAAAAACGTGGAAAAATCGCGGGACTTTTGAAACGTTGCAAGCTCCCACAAATATTGTGGACTTTCGTTTAATTTGCGCTAATCATTGTGATTGGGAGATAGGATAGGGAATGACACACAGCAAAGCAAACCCGTGGCCACTGCAGCAAGGACTGAGCCTGTGTACATGGGGCGCCTGCTATAACCATGAAGCCACTGACACCCCTACAGGAAGATGTTGTGCTAGACTATTTCTTGCCCATGACAAGTGTTGGGAGTAACTTGTAATGAAATTATATTTACTTGTAACACAGTAATACAACGCATTACTGTCCTAAATTCAATAATCACATTACAATTATGTTGTTACTTGTGTTACATAAGTTATTCAGCTATCTGCATAACGAGCCGATATTAAATAAAAGATTAAATGCGCCGACAACAGTGACAGGTTGTCTGACAAATGATTTGAGAGACTCCTCCTCATGAGGGATGACCGCTGTTTTAATGACAAGCGAGTCAAATCCGCTGGGCAACTCTGCGATTAAGCAAAGGGTGCCAAACTCAGTTTAGTTCAGGGGCCACATACAGCGCACTTTGATCTCAAGTGGGCCTGACAGGTAAAACCATTACATAATAACCTGTAAATAATGACCCCTTCAAATTTTTTCTTTTTTTTTTGTGTAAGGAAGTTCATTCTGAAAACATTCATGCATTTACGAATCAAATGATGAACAGCCTGCAATATCCTCAGAAAGAAGCAGGTTAAGTCATCCGCTGCCTTACAAACCATTTACAATCTGAAGTTTTGTCAGTGTACCGTTCACACCGACACTGCGTTAGTCTGAATGCTAGAATATTTCGTGTTTACTTGCTATATATGCGCAAAGCTATTAAAGAAGCAGGATTATAAATATTAGGTGTGCATCTAGTGGGCCGGAGTGGACCCTTTGGTGGGCTGTACGTTTGACAACCCTGGATTAAGCCATGGTTTAATGAGTGAGTGATTCAAGTGGGTGTGTTTGGCACGTTAAATGCATCTCTTGTACCATTTAAAAAGTTTTTCCCTTTTAAATCTGTAATAATCTAATAGTGTTAGGAAGGCTGGTCTCTTATATTTTATTTAGGCCTACTGATACATTATTTTTCATATTTGAACAAGGTGGTGTAATGAAGGCCAAACTCTTATATATTGTTTTATTTATTGATATAGTTTAATAATAAATTTAATAATAATAAATTTTATTTGTATTGCACTTTTCATTTTAGGAATCTCAAAGTGCTACAGAGCAGATAAAAACAAACAAACAATTGAAACAGTTAGAATTAATACAATTTTAAAAAAAATAAATAAAAATGATTAGAAACGATAAATAGTTAAAAGTTTGATTTTGAGGCGGTTATGGCCCTCTGCCAGTGCATCTTGATACTCCAATTGAGCCTGTGCTGATATGAGAGCGTAAAGTTTAACGTTATATTAATAACTTTCAATTAGCTACTTGGACATGTATCCTAGGTGATGAGTAGTGTAACAAAGTACTTTCTACAGGGAGTAATTAAGTAAAGTAACACAGTACTTTTAAAAAAAGCAACATATAATGTGAAATACATTACTTTTTTGAGAAACTATCTAAACACTGGCTGTGACCATTAGTGTCTTTCAGTCTCTGTTGGTTGCCTAGCAACTGATCAAAGCCGAGACACAGTCCAGCACACAACCCCTCTTAGAAAGCTGGCAAATTCTTGTTTTTGTATGCACTGAACAAAGAGGATATAACATGGTATGTAATTATTTATTGTTAGACATGCGGGTAGGTGGATTTTGTCACCTTTGTACAGAGGCAGGCTAGCTGTTTCCACCTGTTTCCAGTCTTTATGCTAAGCTAAGCTAATCCAAGCTGAGTTTATATTTAACAAGAGAGAGAGACAGACATGAGAGTCGCATCGATCGTCTCATCTTACCCTACCCCAGAAAGCCAATGAGTGTATTTTCCAAACTGCTGAACTTTTGCTTTGAAACACACACACACACACACACGCACAAACACACACACACACACAAATCGATGTAAGAATAAAAGTGGAGGGTGGATGTGCACCTGGGGAGTGAAAGGCCGGCGGTGAGGGGGTGTTGCACACCACCGTTTCTGCCAACAGGTTGTTATAAGGGTTAGTGTCGTGGGTTCGGAGGAGAGGGTTAGTTAGGAGGTAGTTGCCAGTCATCCCTGAAATAACAGGAAGAGAGAGAGAGAGGAGGAGAAAAAATCAGGAGGGAAAAAACAGTAGAGGAAAAAGAGCTGGAGGTACTGTACTTCATGGTCTGTGGTGGTGCGCTGGGTAGCCGTCGACATAAACAAACACTGACATTCGTTGTCCAAAATCTGACACCACAAAAGATTTATGACCCGTCTGCCTTTATTACGGACACAAAGCAGCCATAGAAACGTTGGTCAGAGCAAGACATTATCCAAACAGTCAGCTGATGTAACTGACAAACAATATTATCACAACGAGTGTTGACCAAAGCATAGCAACACAATCAACTCCAATGTTTATGTGAAACATATTCGTCTAAACAAACTCATCCAGTCGAGACACTAGACAAAACATGTCTAAATGGCCTGCCATGAATAATACAGTATCCCTATCATCCTGAGCATGCTTGTGTAAATCCCCAAGAATGTAATAACTATCCTCAGTCGTTTGGAAGGATTGCTGAGAAACTTTGCGTTGGCATGTGTGTTCCAAAAAAATTGAGGCTAATTCATAACTACAGCCAAATCTGCACTGGCACAGTCTGCAGCCTGAGATGCCGGGATCACTCCCAAAACCTTCTCTGACCTCAGCCTGACTTTGCTCATCTCCTCCACCTCTATCTTCATCCTGACAATCACTCCAGGGTGAAGATGAGTTGGAGAGGCTGCTGCACAGTCAGAGTCACTGGCATTTGAACTCGAGTCCTCATCAGAAACATTCTGTGCCACACTAAATATCTCCTCTGTGTCTGTTCCTCGCCTTCTACGTGATCCCACCGAGCAGGAAAGAGGAGGGAAAAATGCTGTGAACTTTGGTACACAGGTGGCATTTAATGCTTTTTTTGTATTGCTTACCACTAAAAGAAATGCGACATTAAATCATGCCTTATCTTCCTCTTTTCCCAGCTGCCACAGAGCCATGTAAGCCGCATCCATTGAAGTGTTTACTGTGAATTCAGAGCTTCATCACAAAGAGAATGGTGTATGTGTCTCTTCTGGTGGCGGTGGAAGAAAGGGTTGCTTACCCTGGTTGAGTGTGGAGGTGCTGTTTATGTCTCCCGAGATGAAGGAGGACTCCGACTGCTTCCTCACAGTGTCGTTCCACATCCGCCTGATGCGGCTCTGGGTGGAGGGAAAAGCAGCCATTGATCAGGACTCGACATGGTGCCGCTGTTATTCAAGGCTGAGGATTGAGGAGCTGCGGGGGTTTTGTGACCCTACACTTGTATACAAGATTCAACTAACCCCCTGCTTGATGACATGGTCATGTAGTGGTGAAACAAAGCCCTGCACCTGTTATTGACCCAACCCAAACCAAAATGGATACTTCAAGAATCTTATTTAATTTTAAAGATGCTTTTAAAGAGAGATTAAAAACTTTATTTATATACTTTCTTTCTTCTTTTACAAAATTCTCTGGGTTTTGCTCCTTTAAAATAGTTCATGGTAACAGGTATAAAAGATTATTTAAAAAGAAAATCTTAAATATACGAATGCTGTATGTCTGCTAGCTACGCTGTACTTTTAAATTCAAAATGAGTCATAACCCCCTGACCTTGGCAGCCTGACAGTTTGATAACAAAGCCCAACATCAGAAAGTGAGGACTGAAATGTGACAAAGTGTTATTAAGTTTTTCCTGAGAAGTTTAAACTGTATTTCTTTCTTGAGAGGCTTTGCTATACAATTCTGAGTCTTTACTAAAGGTGAAGGCTGATATAATAAAAGTATTGTCAACAAAACCGACAATGGGAGAGCCCATTTCTCAATACTGTCAAATGTTTTTCAGCTGTAAATTAATACACATTTGGTGCACTTTTGAGTATTTACACCAACAATTCTGCACAATGTTTTTGCACAATGATGGAGGTCTATGGCACGGAGGGAGAAGCTACTATATATCAGGTTTTAGTAGCTACATAACCACATATTTGTTATTAGGATCAGTTCACTGTTAGTTTTAGTCTTTTCATGTGATGTGTTGACAATTAAAAACTAAACAATATCACCAGAGTTATTATTTAAAGGAAAAAAGTGAAGCAAAAAAAAAAATAAAAAAATTGATTCCACAAATATATAATTAACAGGAATTAATTCACACACAAACCTTCTCACACATTCTCCGAGACCCCAAAATAACCGTCTCCCGGTGGTGCATACCTACGTACCTGTGTTGCAGATGAGTAGCGGGCCGTGGATCGAGACGTGGCTGTCTTGGCTGCGCTGTGGGGACCCTCAGATGGCAGCGCGCCGCAGCACTGGGACTGACGGAAACATTTGCTGTATTCTTTGCGGACCTGCGGAAGGAACAAAAGATCAGGACTGACTGAGCACACAGACAGCGACATAACCCCCTTCCCCACGAGAGATGCAAATCCCAAATCTTTATCAAATGCCATCCAGCTGACAGCGGTTTAAATGCCATATCTGTAAGGACGGCGATAACAAACACTGTGATAACACGTTCAAACGCTGCAGAGAGGAAGCACTGTGATGTAAGTGTTGCTGAGTAAGAATGTATAAAGTATCATGAAATGCCTCATGTAAAATGTCAAAATGTTGTAATGTAAATATTTACAGACCCCACCTGCAGTCCAAGGATTTGATAGATTTGGAAGGAAATGGACAATTCTTGGCAGTGCCCTGTTTGAATTTTATGACAGCAACAATCGAAATACATTGAGCACAACGTGATGGATCACCTTGACGGGGCGGATTTTTTTACTGCTACACAGACTCCGTCTTTCTAGCGTGTGGTTGCTGCCAACTTCACTGTGTACATACTGAGTTTTGCCAAGTAATAGTGCAGTCACTTGTACAGGGTTTGGACGTGTAGGCTATAATAACTCATACTGAATTAATTAGCTGGATCATCTTAACTACAGGATGCATTGATTTAATTGATTTATTTTAATGTGAAATGTAAAAACACCCACAAGGTTTCTCTGCTGTGTCGCGTTGCCTCTTGTACAACGTGGTTTGTATTTTAATCATATTTGAATCGACTGTTCTTGTTTTATCCACAAGTCTATGTAGTTAGGGGCAGGTAGGGGAAAAAAGATCAGCTGCACAAAAATAGAGATGAGCAGTGTGATGCCTGCTCGGGTGCGCATAGCTTCTGTGGTCAGTGTAGCAGCTTCAGCTGATTAAAATGGAAGCGCTCTGCTGCATGTATGCTGCAGCAAACATACTTTGGCTTCAACTAATGATAATTTTCATTATTGTAATCTACAGATTATTTTTTTCAATTAATCAATTTGTTGTTTTGTCTATAAAATTTCTGAAAAGTTTCCTGAGTCAAAGATTATGTGACATCTTCAAATGTCTTGTCAGACCTAAAAGTCTCAATTTACAATAAGCAAAAGAAAAGCAAAAAATCCTCTAACGTGAGAGAAGTGGCTCTGATAATTAATTCACTACGAAAATAGTAGTTAAATACATGTCTGTTGTAGAGATCGACCGATATGTTTTTTCAGAGCCGATACCGATTATTATGAAACAGAGATAGCCGATATTTACAACTGATATATGTCTGCTGTAAAAATCATAGTTGACACAGAATTAAAAAAATAAACACTGACAAAGAAACACCAGAGGCAGGACAAAAACTCAGAATAAAGAATTAAATTTTAGATCTTTCAATAAATACGAAAATAAATAAATTAAAAATGAATCAATAAGTAACGAAGTTGAAGAATATGTCGGCTAAATAAAAACAGATTAAAAATAAATAAATAAATACACAATAATCATAAATTCAAAATTTAAAAAACAAAATGAAAAACAATAAATAATATAAATAATAATAATAATAATGAGAAGCAGTGAGAAGTACTCCAGGGGCAAACAGCACAGCTAAGGAAAATGAAACTGTATATCGGCATATCCGTGGAAAAAAATCACAGATACCGATAACCCTAAAAATTCATAATATCGGCCCCGATAATGGGATACTGTATATTTATCGAATTTTGGGGGACTAGTTCCCTTTTTTGTTTAGTCAATAAAATCAGCGAAAATAGTAAAAAATGGCACAATTTCTAAGGTGATGTCCTCAAATGCATTTTTTGGTCCAAATATATTATATTATATATATATATATATAAGATAATATATGTATGTTACATTTAGAATCGATTTTAAGCTCCTCCTCCTTGTATACATGCCCTACATGGTCTGGGACTGAGCTACATTGCTAACTCCCTTGTTAACAATTAGCCTTCAAGAACATTGTGATCATCTGCTGCTGGTTTATCGGAGGTTCCCAGATTGGGGGATGCAGGCTTTGTCAGTGACGCCCCAAAGCTATGGGACACACTACCTACAGATATCAGGGAAGCTGGCTAAATATTTTTAAAAGAAAGCTAAACGAATCTGCTCACGTTAGTCTTTTACTAGCTCTGACTTCCTGATACAGGTCTGAAACGTTCTGTTTTATGTTCATTCTGTCTGTTTTCATGCTTACACTGCCCTTACTATTATTATTGTTATTATTTAATTTAAGGATATATAAAACAGAGCAACAGAGGATGAAATCTGACCTTTTTCTGGAGGAGGCAGTGGAAGATGAAGATGAACATCCCTTGCAGAGTGTTGAAGATGGTGAAGAGGTAAGCCATCACAATGGATGATTCATTAAGGAACAACAACCCAAAGGACCATGTGAGCCCCAATAAACAAAGTAGGGCAAACGCTCCCAGCACCCACGACCTGCGAAACAGAAAGAAGAGTGATATTAATGAGAGACTGCAACGCTGCAGTGGATTTCATCTCTGCTTGGTTTATTGTGCATTCGGTATTTGACACTGAGTCAAAAAATATTTCCTTGGTCTTCCTTGGAGTTGTTGGCTACAGAGACTGCAAACACAGCATGTTTTTCCTTGGCGGCTTCCAGGAAAGCTTAGAGGAAATAAGATAACTTCACAGTCAGTTTCAATGACGATGGCTATTTGTTATTGATACACAAGAGAGCAGTGAGTCACGCTGAGAGAGATACGGCGAGGAGGGAAGAAATGGGACAACAACATGTCACTGAGAGAGGACCCACAGAAAAATAAGTGATGGCTGATAAGACTTTCTGTCCAAGTTTTTTGGTGCTTTTTAAACAAGAGTAAAAAACATTTTTGTCTGGATAATCACACAAAGTGCAACCAATTATTTCACTTTTTGACACAGACAGTAAAAAACAGCAGAGTTGAGGTAGACCCTAATTAATGACAGTTAATGAGTTTTGACTTCTCAAGATAATGTGTGAAATCCAGCATCCACAATGTGGGCTTTCTGAGCGCTAAAAACAAAAATGCATGCCAATTCTATGCCTTTTTCTTTGTTGTTTTTTTGTTTGTTTTGGACTAAAATCAGAGTGGCTGCCTAAAAATCAAGCGCCCACATAACATATGTTGGCCTGCCCTCAAAACACACTGTTGAACAAGAATCCAGGCACAGAAACGGACAGGGACTTTTTATCGAGCAAATGCAGCCCACTTGGAGCAAAGAGAAGGGGGACGGGTCTTTTTTCCCCGTTTCCACCATCTTTAAATCTATAAGTCATGAGGTTGAATCCGTCTTCCAAGGGAGCCTGTAAACTATGCCAGCAAAAGAGCAAAAAGATACCAAAAGGTCAGAAATGCAGTTATGAAGAAATAAAAAAAGGCAATATAACCCTGCGTAGTGCAAATAGTGAAATCATAAACTGAACCAAAAAGCTACCCTCTGTACGGACCGAAATAAAATCTGAAAGGGAGAAATATTGGCATGGTCGGGTTTAAGAGAAGAGGAAATCAAATAAACCTCTTGGTCAAAAGCAGCTTTTGAAATTTCAGGAGGGAGGCAAAAGAAGTAATGGTGCATATTACCACCACCCCCACTCGACACACACATACACACCATCTCAGAGCGAGCAAACCACAGTGCAGCCGCCTAATCTGCCAGAGTGACACCCCTCACCTGATACCTCCCAGCCTGGACGAGTCGGGTTTCATGGAGGTGGAGTGCTTCACCATCTTGAACATTGTCACCACCAGGAAGATGACATTGACCTGTCAAAACAGACGCGTATCAGGGTTAACAGACTGCACTTAGAAAGGCATCCAATTTCTGTTGCTGACAGCGAGACGAGAAAGTACGCAGATCCTTTACTTAAGTAGAAGTACTAATATCAAGATGAATAAACACTCCAAGTCCTTTGGTGGTAAAAGTATGACCAGGAATATGTACTCATAATCAATGAGCTCACCTTTTTTACGAGGTGGTGGTGATGGTGGGGAAGGGGTGCTCTTTATTACATATTTTGTATGCTGTCAACAATACAGAGAAATGCATGAAGGCGATTTGGTGCGCAGATTGAGTTTGTTCTTTTTTCAGCTTTGATTCAAAGTGAGTGAAGTTTATGATACTGCACCACCGCCTTATCTTGTATATTTTGCTGGATATTTAATACTCTACTCGGGATGTTCTTGTAATGACAACTTGACATTAACCAGGATGACATTACCAGAAGATGTCTTTATGTTAATGTCAAGTTGTCACAATAAGGACATCACAAACAAATTCGATGTCAGCTTGTCATGACAAAGACATCTTCTGGTAATGTCACTTTGATCAATGTCAAGTTGTCATAATCAAGACAACCCAAACAATGTCAACTTGTCATTACAAAAACCGAATGACACTTAATGACAGCAGTCATAAACGTTTATGACATGTACATAATGTTTATGACAAGCTCATGACAGTGTCATGTCATAGTTATGACAGTGTCATGTCACCCTTATGTAGATACCTTCAAGTAAAGTGTTACCGAATTTCCTTTAGAATAAATAAAGTTCTTTGAATTGATTTGAATTGAACTGAATTGAATGCTCCGATGGTGATGGCAAGACTAGCATGAATGCCGGTGTCTTTATCAAAGTGAATCAATGATGAATCACCCTCATGTGTGATAATAGGCTAATTATACGCATGATCCATGACGATGAAGATACAAAAAAAATAGATATGCATGGCAAAAACAGCATATTTTCACTATTTTAGAGACCACTCTGAAATGTCACAAATGACGTTTCCAGGGGAGCTCATGTCTCATTATGAGGAGTCAAGCTCCTTTTGGCTCCCCTGTAGGTCACACTCTGCTTATAGTATTAAAAGAAGTAAAGTCGAAATACTCAATGTGCCACTGTCATATTATAACATATAATATCATTGGATAATTATCCCTCATTCATTAATGAGTGAGCAACATTTTACTGTTTACAGCCGGTTGAGGTGGAGCCTAATTTTAATCATTTTATTTAAGGCTTCCACTGCATTACTTTTATTATGGATTATTTTCTCAAATTACTGATTAACTGTTTGGTTTGTAAAAATTCAGAAAATAGTGAGAATCAAAATTCCTAAATAAATAAAAAAATAAAATGAATAAAATAAAATAAAAGAATTAATAGCAAAAAGCAGCAAATATTCACAGTTCAGAATCTGGAGCCACGAAACATCTGGATTCACTTCTGCATGGAAAAATGAGCTAAATTATCAGAATAATTGTCAATTGATTGTATGTCAATTAACTAATTGATTTATCAGGTAATCATTGCGGCTCTACTTGTACATCATGTTGGGTGGTTCAATCAATAACTGGATCATCACAGTAGAGGAAAAAGTACAATATTTCCCTCTGAAATGTAGTAAAGTAAAATCAAAAAGAAAATACCTCAAATTTGTAGCAAGGTACAGCGCACAGAGTAACTGTACTTAGTTAGGTTCCACCACTGGTTGCTACCACCCATAGTTGTGTTTCACACTGACTTAAAGTATTAATAATCTTTAGTGGTTTTGGCTCTTATAGTGAGCGTCAGCACCAGCATACCTTTACCGGGAGGAATATAAAAATTTAATGCCTCAGTGCAGATCATAAAGTACACCGACTTCCAAAGAGAAAAACAACAGTGAGAGGTTAACGCTTTGCTCTACTTCACACAGCTCTGGCCTTCAATATAAGCTGCGCTGAAAGTTTCTTGTCTTGTTTGACATTATAGTCAATCCCAAAGTGCAAATCCTCGCCGAATACAAGAATGTATATCTGATGGAGTCCAAACCGACCTGATGTACCACGGACCAAAGCTCCAGAAAAACACAAAAAGGAAAGTACGGAGCTCAGTGCCATATTTTAGAAACAATTTTTATTGAAGCCAGGAAAAACATTTAAGTGATTCAAGCCATACATCCAGTGAGGTTTCCATACTTTCAGGATGACTCTCTAAGCACTCGAGGGCCCGTCGTCACCGAGGGAAAGGGAGGAGATGTGCTTCAATTTGGCCCGATCTCATATTAAACCTTTGAAATGCATTTCTGTGCACTTCAATGAAAAACAAGTATATGTTCACATTTTTGTGTTATTAAAAACTTCTATACCGATCTGCTCTGGGCGTGCATTTTGAAAGCGTGACCAATCAACTGTACATGAAGGAAAAATAAATGACAAAAAAGTACGAGCTGGCGAGAGCACAAAGCGTAATGATCTCCATGTAGTTTATCAAAAACTTCATTTTCAATTCTTCTCTCACAAATGAGCAAAAAGATCCTCATTATTATCGCGTACAGAAACACTACGAGGCAACAGAGAAAGGGTCTTTAAATGGAGACAAAGAGAGGGAGAGCGGAAAGCAGATGGAAACCAACAACAGCAGGGGAAAAGATGGAAGGAAAAGGAGTGGCTAAGAAGACAGAAAGAGGCTTTTAGATCACAGCTTAGAGTAATGCCGAGTTTTGTCTCGCAGCCACTGGGGCCGATTTACGTCCGCATGAGTCGAGTGGCTGGAGATGCATTTAACACAGAAGCAAGTGATGACACAGATCCGATGAGACAGACAGACGGACGGACAAGCAGGGAGGCACTCTGCAGAAAGCTGAGGCAAACTACATATGGACCCCCCCCCCCCTTCGTGCCCCATCTCCAGGGGGCCGTCCTCAACAATATTCAGGTCTCTCACTTCTCTGCCAAATACAGCGCAAAAAAAACAGCGCCGCTGACGCAGCACTTCTCCCAGTTTTTGCATGTATTTACAGCTTATAGACAGATTTACATGTGTGTTACCGTACATGCCTCTATGGATACACAGCGAGTGTTTGTTCAGGGCTGTGTGCATGCATTCCTGCATGCATGCATGTGCGTGTGTGTGCGTGTGCATTGAGAACACCCAGTGCACCACATAAAATATTAAAAGGTGAAGATGGAGATGTCCGTGTGCTGGGATTGGCTGGGGACGTGTCATGATCCTCAGCAGGGCTATGAGCTGTGGTAATGGTTGTCTGGCCCACCCACTCATTACTTCCATGTTCACCCCCCCCTCCACCACCACCATCACCCTTGTTTTCCCACTGAGCAAATGACCTTCATGCCTGAGATGATTTCTCCTCCTGATTGCGGGAGGGGAGTATTCTCTAGATGTACAGCAAGGACCAAACAGCTTTAAGTTGTTGCTGCGCACCAATTCTGATTTCAGAGGATTTCACAGCTGAGTGGACACTGATGTCCTCGTGTCAGCTATAATGGGACCACTTTCCTTTCATGCAAATTGATCTGAGAAAGCAGCACTGAGAGGCTGCCAGTACAGAGAGACAGAAAATCTATAAACTGTTTTCAAAGATTTTCTTTGAGCGAAAAAAAAAAAAAGTTATCACACGCGTGCACAACATTACAACTTACCACAATTATGAAGGTCACAGGTCCAATGAAGCTCCAGATGAAATGGTTATCAACCCTCAGCCAGCATCTGCAGGGTGCAAAAGGTGATATTCAGTTCATTAAATCATCTCATTGCCAAAACATAGTTGTGTCTCATCGATCAGGCCCCAGCAGAGTTGGCTGATGATACGCCACAGCAACAGAATAGAGACTCCTCTGACCACAGAGAAGAAAACCCGACCTTGAGGCAGCATTGGCCTCATTCCATGAGAAGCTGCAGTCTAAAAGGCAGCGGTTATTGGACTCATGACTTCACGGTCTGCAAATGTCTACAAATGTGGGATGTCTGACTGTGTATACCTAAGACTCTGAACAGTAAACAATGTATTGTAGACAGTTTCAAGAATGAATTGCACCTCGCTCTGTGTATATCACCAGGGAACAGAAATGAAGTGAAGACTACGGCAATAAAATTGAGTCTGAAAAAAAGCATTAACTTAGATTCCATAAATTAGAGGACTGCAGTCTTACAAATCATACAGCTTGCAGCTTGGATGAAGACCAGCGGAGAAGTGCATAAACTTTTAACTGACAAGGACAGCAATTATCCACATGTGAAGAATAAAAACCCAGCAGGCCAGAGCAGCTAGCCAGCGTATTCATTAATGTTGCAGCTTTGCTCACAGCCTCTTGAAATTTAGGAGGGGGCAGAGATGGACTACTCTTTGTGATATTACTATCATTACCACATATATGCACGCTGATGGGGGAGAAGGGATGACTAATGCGCCTCATTTTTATCCCACAAAAGACGAATCTCTACAGAGATGTCACACTTACGCCCGCTGTGTGCCGTAGCTTCTGTAGTCGATGGCAGCTGAGATGCCCACCACCACAGCCGGGATGAGGTACCCAGAGACGTAGTAGTACTTCCTGCGCGAGAACTCGCTCTCAAACACCTCGACCAGCATGAGGTACAGCTGCACGCCCTCCAGACACATCCAGGCGAACGCAGCCAGGAAGCAGAAATGGAGAACCCCAGCGATGATAGAGCACACCAGCTGACAGGAAGACACACAAAGACAGTACACACAAAGTTAAGGGGTGGTTCAGAGGGATTTTCTTTTCTTCAGGGTTTAAAATTTCATTGACTAGTGACTTTAGCCCAGTTCAGTTAAACTACAAGTGGTGGCTCTGCTTAATGTTGCTCCAATCAATTTTTTTAATTGGATCAAATGACTGCATGTAATGTGGAAAAGACTGTTCAAGCTATTTTTAGCATTTTCCAGCTTAACATTTTGCTGCAGCAGCAGACAGCTGTTAAAAACCCTTTGATAAACCTACTACCTGCTCAGAACACAGACAAACTTAGTAACCAGTCGGTGAACATAGCGGAGCATTACCTGCTAAAGAGCCAAATCTTGCCCCCAGGAGTGCTTAAAGACAAAATCAGAGCTAAAGGAGATTGAATATTGGCCTTACATTCATCAGATGGACAGGAACACTGCTCCGAATGAATGCTAATGTTGGTCTGTGTCTCCTGGATGTGTGAAAGGGCTATAACACCTTTATAAGGCGATAAAATGTCGATTTTTCACATATTTATTAGATCAACAACGCAAGAATGACATTTCAGTATCTGTGACAATGCACATGTGCTAAAAAGTGGTAATAAGAGTACAAATACTCATTTGAGAATTTGAGTGGCCTTAGGCTTTTAAATGTGCTATATAAATAAACTTGACATTGACATTGACATTGAGTGTGTATCTCCCAAGACTAAATGGCACTGAATCATAACTATTCAGTGAATAAGCTAAGCTAGGCTAAGCTAACATCACAAACTAACTAACAGCATACAATATTATTCATGCACAGACATCCATGAGTTTTTCATGGTCAGGCTGAGTAGAGGAGGAGTACAAAATGTACAATTTCACAATAATCCACTGGTGGGTTCAACCAAGCTTTGTTAAAAACCACAGAGTTTTATTTTCAGTTTCACTGAAGATCCCAAAGTTTCCAAAGCTATAAATGATGTAGGAACTGTGAATACAATCATGTGTTGAATATTTCTGTTTGATAAAATGGTGTGGCCACAGAAAAAACACAGCCAAAAAATATTATCCTGTTTGAATATTTCACTTGTACTTTTTCCACCGGGGCAGTTCTTGTGCTTGTTCAGACCAGGTGGGGAATCTAACAAGTTCTGCGCATTTTGACAGCAAAAGAAACGGCTCGCGGCTAAGAAACCTGATACTGTAGCAGCACCAACAACTAACTATTTTTAAAACCCTGAGCTTCATTATGGATATAACATTAAACCAGTCATCCGGGAAGAGACAACATGTAGGAAGTTAACTTTCCTCTTGGATATCGCCCGTCCGTAACAATCATGATCAGCAGCCAAAATTTGTTGGAGAAGTTGTGCTTGTATGCTTCCAAAGCCAGGAGCAACACTTGAAAAGTTACCATGTGGTCCACTATTTCTGTTGCCTGAAGATGGTGTTAGCATTGCTAGGAGACCACAGGGCTCTGCAGTAACATAATGACTCAGCTCTCTATCCTGTGAAAAAGCAAGCTGGTTCTTAAAAGGTTGGAAGTTTAACCAGCTATGAACCTGCACTAGCACCAGCCCAGAGACCAGAACTAGGCTTGAGTTGGTGAAAAGGAAGTATCACAGTCAGCATCATAGATCTTCAAGTGTTGGAATGAGCAGATATAGAATATAAATGTGGCATTTTAATCTAATGTGGATTCTTTGCTAACTTTACAGCCACTTACAGGAGAAGTGAAGGAGAAATTCAAGTGTTTAAAGGTTGCCGTTTCACGGCAGATGAGCCCATTCATCAGCAGTATGAACGTTAAAACCCTCTGCAGTATCATTTCCACGGTACCTTTGGTTCTGTCATGTTGATGCCCACGAGGTAGACGAGCTCGCCGATGAAGAGGTTGAGACAGAGGTTTTTGTGGATGGTGTTGCGGTCGCTTTGAAGTCCTCGGAAGAAGCAGAAGGTGAAGAGGCTGATGGCGAGGCAGACGAGAGACACAGCAATACCCATTCGTGTGATAACGGTGAGAAGAAGCTCGTGGACACTCCCGTCCCCCTGCAGAGAAACAGACACACTACCATCAAAAACAGTGCCTATATGGACACTGAAACAGGTTTCATTCTGGCTATTAAAACATCTGCTCCTAATGCTCTTTCCAGAGATAGGGAACAAAATTCGGTTATATAAGTTGCACAAATCAAACAGATATCTTCCAAAGCAGGGGTCTAATTCACAAGAGGGACACAGGGGACATGCACTTCATCAGAAGGCAGCACTGAAGGCCTGTACTTTTTACAGTCCAAAATCTGATGTTATATTAAAAAAGAGAGAGAGAAAGAGAAACTGCACGCACTAGTGTGTTTGTAATTCTTCAAGTATGGAAGCTGGAATGGGTTTTTGTATCTAGTAAGTTGTAGAAATTACATAGAGAATGAATGGAGAGTATGGAAATGAGAATAACTCTTCAAATTCTTTAAAAGCAGTAACAGTATCTGTTATAGTGAAGTTTGCAGTGTGGAATTAAAATTTTAATATATGTCCAAAAGTATAAGTTATATAAAAAAAAACAGTTTATTTTGCAAAATTTGTTACATTTTAACATGAAAAAAATGTATTTTACACAGAACTTTTTTGCACCACCCTTATTGTTTTTGTGCTGACACACTTCAAAGAACTATCCGGAACAAAGGCTGACTGTTGCGTCGTCTCATGTTTCCTGCACCACGGCCAAAAAGTTGCACTTGAACATACCGCTAAAACTACACCCAAGTTAACTAGCATTTTCTGCACCTGCCTGAAAGGAAATAACTCCATAGCAGCAGGTAGCAATAGTCTGTATTCATAATTGAAAGAGAGAGATGTAACACAGACAGGACGGATTCAAGATGCTAGTTAGCCTGTTAGCACATTACCAACACAACCTGATGTTGAAGGAACAAAGAATATTGACTGACAGTAACACAAACCATCATGAAATGTTATTGCTAAAGAGCTCAATCGTATTTTCTTATCTTACCTAATATAACAAATGTGTTTTGATCTCATGCCCTCTTGACATTAGCAGTTTGTTTACTTTCCTCACTTCTGTTTCTCCTCTCATACACTGAGCTGAACTGCCAGTCAGAGTGATGTCAACATGCTGAACTGGCCTATAAAAAACCCCAACAAGGGCCGACTAGTGTCAATGGTGCAGGACACTGGACGACAAAACTCTCACAGATGGCCGTCTTGGTGTGTCAGGGCCTTTAATCAGTGTGATGGTTTGAAAACCATCATGTAATTCTTTAAGTGAAAGGTAACTTTATTTTAAAAAAGGTGTCAATATCGAATTTCTGCCCATACCAACTGAGGCTCTGGTTTTATAGTAACCCAAGCACCACCACCACTATCTCCAGGGTGGTTTATTCTGCACTTTTTCCACCTATGAGTTGATTCAATATATTGATCAGTTTTATTACTTTTTGCTGAACAATGCTGTATAAAATATTTTTGTTATGATGAAGGGGAAATATCAAAATTGTGAAGGAAACATGGTCGTGTTTTGTTCCATTTCTGGTAGGGGTATCTGGAAAACTAAAGCTCTTCAGTGGATTTGTGCCTGTGCTGTGCCCCACCCATGGCTGAAATCAAAATTGCGCCCCTATGCCAAAGTTATAGTCTTTTTAGCACAAAATCCCTCTTTGTGTTTCCACAGTGTGTCCCAGTTGAGCTGCAGTGAAAGGACAGTAATAAAAACACAATAACTCTGGAAGATATCCACTTGACTTGACAAACTCAGACTGTTGACGCCTCATATTAGCTTCAGAGAACCTATCCTTTAACCTGATTGTACCTGATGACATTTGGCGCTCAAACAGAACAGGCCTAGATCACATTATGGGGCCCATGCTACTGCAGCAAGCGACATCGGTTTCAAAATCTGCCACAAAGAACCACAGCTGCGTGATGTGACATCCACATGTGGGTTCTCCTTTTTGAGGTCAACTTGCGCCGTGTTTCAGAAACATCTAAAACTGAGTGCGTTTCAAGATGGGCACCAGGCAAATGTGAAAATAGCAGACTTGACCATACAAAATATCACTCAAGGACATGGTGGCCCGAATGTGAGGCAATTCCTCCTGTGATATTTGTAATTTTATTGAGGGCAGGAGTTGCAGTTGAGGTGATGTGCAGGGAATTGGTGTGAGGCTAAGCCTAGCCTCGGGGCTCTGGTTTCAAGCTGTGGTTAAGGTTGAGGTTAAGACAGATGACAGGGACAGAGTTCATGAAATGGGACGTATTATTAAAGCAACCACAAACTTATCCTCCACATTTATAACTGGCTAGGTCCTCGCTACACATGCTATTTATCATGTAATTGGATTGTAATTGCATTTAGCAACCAAATGGATCCTACACCACTTCAAGAGGGGTGGAAACATAAGTTAAAGCTGAGGTTATACTGTTTCCCATGATTCCCAGGGACATGGAGGAATATTAGACACGAACCATAGGTAAAATATAATTACCTCTGATAATGGTACGGTACTTCCTATCCTGATCCACAATCTCGCTCTTTTAAAGTGACAGCCCGCTTCCTTTTCTCCACCTCCTCCCCTCCTCCCCCGCCCTTACCTTCTCCTCCAGCAATAATCTAATTATCTCCACTGAAATGCCATTCTTGTTCTTGCCGTGTGTGCACAAATCTGTCAGCGAGACGGAAGAACAACTAACTGAGACAGAAAAATGGCTCGTGCAGACCGCAAAGGAGAGGGCCACTTACCACATTCCCCCGATGAGCCATGAGGATGGCGAAGTTGGTCAAGTGACTGCAGGAGCAAGTGGTGTGGCTCTTGTTGGTTTCCAGCAGTTTACAGCCCTGAGTGGACCAGTATCCCATCATGCTCCGCTCAGAGTAATTCCAGAAGGAACAGTTGGGATTGTAGTAGTGCTCCTTCTACAAAACACAAACACACACACACAGAGAAAGATGATTAATCATATATGAACATGTTGTGCAATATGCATGATTGTACACAAACACAACTTGTATATTTCATATCTCTAGTTGTAAGAAACAGGATGTCGATGCACCTGATGTGCAGACTGTGCCTGTGTGTGCTTCACCAATTAGTACCTGTGCAATTAAAGTCCTTCAAATGCAATCGATTGTTGCAAGAAAAGGGGTGAAGGGAAATCCAAATAAAGAAATTCCCAAGCACAGAAAAAGCTCCACTTGCTTCTCTAACTCTCCTAGCCTCACCGTTCATCACACACTGGAATAATATAGATGCCTTCTCTTTACTCCAACAGTTTTTCTACAACAATGATCCATCAAAGTGCTGCATTTGCCCTTCACTACAAAAGCCTGTGCAGCTGGTTCAGTATTTTAACAGCCCGGCTCTATAGTGTGGTCCGGGTCAGTCTCAGGAGGAGGCTTACATCCAGGTGCTCCAGTGTGAAGATCACGGGGTCGGCGACGAACACACGGCTGGACTCCTTGGTGATAGAAGCTGACAGGATGTGGGAGTTGACGGTGAGTGAGAGGTTGCGCTTGTTCAGGTCCCCCATTCCCCTCAGTGTGGCATTCTCAGTGCTGAGGAACTGACCCAGGTGTTTGTAGAGCACAAATACCAGCTTGGCCACACCTGGAACAGGCAATAATAAAATCATCAGACATACCGAGGGAGCATAAACAAAACAATTACAAATGATATAGTCAGTGAAAAGAAATGAATTCATTTACTGATACTGTATGAGAGTAACAAACCCAAAAAGAAAGGTTTTACATTTTGGGAATATTGCTCATTTACTTTCTTGAGTTAGATGCAGAGGGGGATTCTTAAAATGTCAAACTATTCCTTTAATGGTCTCATTACGTGCCAGAATCCTGAGTGAAAATTGTGATCTCAATTCTAAGCCACAAAAACTGTTGTTCCCAATTAATCCAGGAGGACTGAGAGAGACTTAACTGACTTACTGGACACAGCTATCCAATATGCCTTGCAGGAAGACCTGCCCTACTCCGTCTCTGATTTGCTATACTCTTCCAGGCATTAGCGAAACACTAACTTTGGCCTCGCTATGATGCTAACCGGTGCTACGAACTTAGCTCCGGCACTTGTCTGAAGATAGGGTACCCAGTCTGAACAGCGTTAAGTTTCTTACAATTTTCGTATATTATTTCATCATTATTGGCAGTTTTATAAATGTTTTCAAAGTTGAAAGGTTCCATAAACTGGTGCGACACCAAGCTAGCACCTTTGGGGGTTGTTAGCCAGCCAACAAGACGGTTAGCTCTCAAGAGACCCGTCTTGTAGATAAGAGGCTTTTAGTTTCCTGTTGACTGATGGTTGGTTTAAATATCACAACACAAATGTCCATTATAACATTAACAGAAACCTGTAAAATGTAGCGCAAAATGAAAAAATGACCAACAATAGCAAGGTACAATATGAAACAGCTCTTTTTTAATAGTGTTTCAATGGTGGTGGAGCTTCTTAACTCTGAAAACATTCATCAAACTGCCAATATTCAAGATCACAGAGTCAATTTCCTGCCTAAAAAATCTCTGATGTCAATTTAATGATGAAATAGCAAACGAAAATTAAATGAAAATTTCGAAAAAGCTGAGTCGCTTTCCTCCTGGGACTAATTTGTATTGCGGGTTAGCATCAGAGCTAAGCTAACATTAGCAGCTAGCAGTAGTCAGTTTCGTCTCTCACATCCAGGATCATGTAACTTTTGTCTGAGATATCATATGCTAGTAAAGGAATAGTTTGACAATTTGACCAATGACCAAGAAATAGTTACACCTTAAAACCACATCATGATATTTTTAAGTTACTTTTTGTGCACAGAGATCCAGAAAACAAAATACATCCTGTTAATTTGCGTATATTTAAACTCTGGGCAGAGCCAGGCTAGCTGTTTACTCGCTTACAACCTTTATGCTAGGCTAACTGACCACCTCATGCATTTAGTTCTAACGTTAATGTACAGATAGTGGTATCAATGTTCTCAGTAAGAATGCAAATTTCCCAAACTTTAAAAATATCTGATTACATCCTTATTGTACTGAAGACAACTAACTAAATATTTTTTACATCGTGAGTCAACTGCTGAAACAAAAAAGGAAAAGAAAAAAACTCATCCATGGTGCAATGTTTCTGCAGCAACTGTATTTAACTCACCATTTTTGCTGTTGACTTTGACAGTGTTGGAGGAAAGCTGCAGAGATGCTCCACCTTTGCTTGTCTGAGGAAACCTGAAGTCCTGCACCTGACCGTCAGTGCTTAACACGTACACATCCAACACTGAGAGACAGTAGGAGGTGAGAGTAGTGAGCGGGAGATAGAAAGAGAAAGATGTATTACTCATTGGCAACATCTCAGAGGCAGTACGTGGTGTCTAATAGAGCTCTATGGTTAAGGCCCAGCAGGGTATGTGTAAAGACTCGAGGTTCATTGTGCCAGTAAAGGAATCTAATCTTACTGGCAAGACCCCGCAGAGTGTCATTTATTTAAAAAACCATGTCACTAAGCTGTTGGTTGGCATTGTGAAAGCCTCCGAGGCAAGAGCAAAAGAAAAAATAACAACAAGGGCGGTGATAGAGGATGAGCAAATGCAAGCATGCAGCCTACTGCAGCATGAATGTCAAATATTCATAGGATCAAAAATATCATTGAGCTTTTACTTTTACTTTTTCTCTCCCCTGTGGGTTCAGATAACTCTGGGCTCGACGAGCAAATCTCTGAAAATCCTCCAAATTCCAGCAGCCCCTCTCTCCGGTATGCCAGCTGCCGGGTGGTGCTCCCTTTGATGTGTGAAATTACTGAAGGGTCAGGAGGACACACGTATCAGCACACTCCCTCCCATCAGAAACAGCCTCACTTCCTCAGATAGATGGCTTCTGACAGACGGAGATGAGGAATTGTTCTCTTGTTGCACTCCCCCCTCTGTTTAGTTTCTAGCTCTCTCTTTGCTCCCCCTCCCCTTTCCCTCATCTTGCCCTTGTTGCTCGCCTGGAGGAGCCGTTTTGGCTTCCACAAACTGCTAATTAGGAGCAACAATCATTTTCACATTTTTGCCAACTCTTCAAGGGAGGTCAGGTAAGCTGTTCTCCGAGGTTGTGTCCCTCTGTCTTCATATGGCTGTTTTTATGTTTCTCAGCTGGAATATTATCTCTAATGCGCAGATAAGCGAAAGCTTGACAAGCTCATGAAAACTGCCTGAATGCAGTGATTAAATAGCCAATATACAGCATATTACACAATGTATTAATCAGTGCTTTTGGTAGAGACGGCGCAACTAGTCCTTATCAGCTTAGCTAACTACCACTTAATGGGAAAGGCTCGGAGAGAACAGATAGAGTGCTGTGTGAATGGAACAATGCCATTCAATTGGTTTCTTTGTTTTCCCCCAGAGGTCTGGACAGTTCATCTTGCAGCACACATTCAATGAGGTGACTTTACTATGCAAGGAAAAGATTAAAAATCAATGAGGTATAAGACAAAAAGGGTGAGTGGGAGACCATAACCATAGCAACAAAGAGCTGTGAGTAGAAATATGACAGTTCACTGCACCAAGCTGACATAAATGAATAAGATCATGTTGCTAATAAACTGCGTGCGAGGACACAGCTTCTTCTTTTTTTTAGACAAATCTTTTACTGTGACATCAACAGGATCTGGCCGTTTTTAAAATCATATTCTCCTTGGGGAATAGCTAAAAAAAATCACCCTGGAGACAATTTTACCACTCAGTTTGAAATACTTTTACTGAAAGGTGCTGCACAGCCAAAAAAGCATCCTAAATTGTGACTGACAGATGTGTGCATGTCTGTTTTTTACTTATCGGAGAGGGACTTACTGATATTCTCTGCGGGCACTTTTACGATTGCCGGCTCGATCAGGTTTTCCGCAAGGACAAATGCCCCTTCCTCCAGGGTATCCAGTAGCATTGTGGCGGCATGCGTTTGTTCCGTGGAATTCATGTCTTTCCAGGATTTCAGAGCTTCCGGCCTCAGGAGGTTGTCAACAGTGTCCACAATTGCCTGTATCCATGGAGACAAGTGAAATGTCAGCTTGCTGTTTCCTCCCATCATAACTTCAGTTTAATAACAAAGAGTGGGGGGGTGGGGGGCAGCAAATGATAAAAAGGGCATGCATGGCCAACAGTGACAGCAGCAACAACGACTGACACTGAAAAATCAAGATCACTCGGACTGAAGACATGAGGGTTCAAGAAAGTCAAGGGTAACTAAAATAATAATGATGATAAAAAATGCAGTATGTTTTATTTAATATTCTGTTTACGAAAAATAGGCCTTATCTGAGGAAGCCTCTTCTGGATAAGTTTCATTTTTTGAATAATGTAAAAATGCTTTAGGGGAAGAGGAAATGCAAACCAAATGTTTTCTCCCTTCCCTGGATGAAGCTGTCTACAATGCTGCATTCTCAATTGCCTGGTTTTAAGCAGTTATTTTCCAAAAGAACAATTACCACCATGAACAATGGTCTTATTTCCCTAACGGGATCTGCCCATAATGGCCTTGAACACAACTCTGCTGGAGGAAAAGTGGGCATTATCATAAAATCCATGTCCAGGGTGGCAGTTCGAGTCAAGACGGGGGAACATTTCTGCTTGTTTTCAATGGTAATCCTTTCATTTCCTGCTTTCTGATAAGCAGTAAGTAAGCAAAACATTCCACAAAACCCACACAAGTATCATATGTTGATAAAACAAGAGTTTCCTTTGACCTTGGCAGGGTGAGTTCATGACTCCTCCCTGACTCAGCCAATCACAATGTGGCTACATTTTTAAAACCCCACCTAACACCGACAGTTGTACCAAGACTCAGAATCTAGCTCAACCCTTAGTGTGATAAATCAGAGTGACAATTTAACCATAGGTGCCATTAACCACAGCAAGGCCCACCACAATAACGGTAATTAACCACAACAAGCCCTTGCTCACTATACCAATTAGTCACAGCTGTGATTATCCAAAACACTAATTGACCACAGACAGGATTATCCGTTTGCCTGGAATAACAAGAAAGGGGATCAACCGAAGTCTGCACCAATATATGATTAACCGCAACATTTAACCACTGAGCTCATATTAACCACAGCAATGATGACTGTATCCAGACACAGGGCTCTCAGCGTGTCTTTATATCTCGGCCTGAGCGCAGAAATCAATCTCTGTGGCCCTGACCTTGCAGGCAACTGGAAGCTTGTGAGCTGTGACTATGATGGGAGTTAAGTCTTGTGTGTGTGTGTGCGAGTGTGTCTCTGTGTGTGTGTGCGGGAGAGAGAGCAGTGGCCATTACAGGGTCGGAGCCATTACAACCAGACAGACACTAAATGGTCACCCCCCCCCCCGGTGAGCCAGCCTCAAAGGACCCATGAAATCCAAAAGGGGAATAAAACGTCAGCTGTCTCTAATTTGTGTAGCACAGAAAGAATCCGTGTTCGGACTGAATCCTCTTTAATTTTCGCCTGGGTGGAGGTCACTTTACAAATCACAGGGGTGTTACAAGAAGTGCCCCCATAGCTTGCTATAGCTGGAGCAATGATATGACCTCGGCGAACGGGCCGGCGAACAAAATTCCAGGAGCAGCAGCAGGGGGTGAACGGTGACACAAAGCTAGCAGCCTTGCTGGCAGTTCTGTGAGGAGATGCTAACATCAGCATCATGATTACAATCACCATCTCCGTGTAGTGTGTTAGCATGCTAACATTGGCTGATTAGCGTCAAACAGAAGGTACAGCTGAGGCTGATGGGAAGGCATTTGCAGTTTGGACGAATTAAAATGTTAACCTAATGATGGCGCTGGATGAGAAGTTAAGGGATCATGAAAGTTATTACGACTCATCCTGAGGGGGACGTGAATGTCTGCACCACATTTTATGGAAGTCCATCCAACAGTTATTGAGATATTTCAACTATTTTACACGTCAAAGTTTGTTTACAGGTCTTAAGGAAGGTCTTACAGGTCTTACAGTGGGACAAATGTTCATAAACTACCTCAAGTGACATCACTTAAGTCAGAGTCAGTGAGGGATAAGGACTACAAGTTTGAAAATGGTAAAGATCTGCAGGTGTTTAGTACAAAAGAAGTGATCTCAACAGATTGCCAGCTCTTCATTTCTGCTTTAGGCTAACAGGCCCAGGCTACATAAACTGCTACTTGCTTAACACACCCACATCTCCGCCTTAAATGTTGGCAGCTGAGTTGCATTGTGGGCAATGTAGGCACCAGGTTTTGACAAGGAAGAAGGATACAAGGATACAATAATTTCCTGGTAAAAAACCCCTCATGTCACGCAAGTAAAAATTTAACAGGGCTAAGCAAATTCGCCTAAACTAGTTATTTTTAGGCACCCAAAAAAAGGCCTACCTTAAAAAAACGTAAGTGTATGCTAGGGCTGCCACTAACGATTATTTTCATTGTCGACTAATCTGTCGATTATTTCTTCGATTAGTCGACTAATCGTTTCATCGAAAAATGTGTTAAAATGTTGAAAAATGTCGTCCTGTCTCGCCCAAACCCCAAAATTACGTCATCTAATGTCTTGTTTCATACTCACGCCAAAGGGTTTTAGCTCACTGTCAAGGGAGAGTGTGTAAAGCTGCTAATATCTGAACGTAAGAAGCTGCAGTAAGAGTATTTTGGGGTACTTTTATAGTACTTTTCTATGAAAAATGACTCAAACAGATTAGTCAACTACTAAAATAGTCACCAATTATTTTAATAGTCGATTAGTCATCGATTAGTCGACTAATCGTGGCAGCCCTAGTGTATGCTATATTTAGAAAAATTTCACTGCTCGGCCTTTCCAACAGGGAAATTAAGTTATCTAAAAGCCACCAGACTCCACTGACAAAAGCAGTAATTTTACTTCACAGAACACAGGAGTTGTTGGTTTACTACTACTAAATCCAAATATAGTATATACTCAAACTGATATAGACTTTTTATGTGGGTCTTTTCTAGGCAATTAACATGTTTACTGCAGCCCCTGTCCACAGCAGTAGGCCTACATTGCTTAGCTTTGGTGTATCAAAGATGCTAGCAAAGTTACACGGTATATTATATACACAGTGCCGTGTTTAATCATGTATCTTTAAACGTTATATTTAGGGCTGAAAGTGACAACAAAAATAAACAACTTTGCTGATTTCACACATCTCCGTAAGTGAAATCAAAGCGAAATGAAGTGTTTTGCTTAGTCCCGCCTGTGTTGTGACTACGTGCTGTGATTGGCGTGTCAAGGTTGAAGATGGTTAGGGTTAGTATGAGCCAATCGCAGCATAGCAGGGCGGGATTTGGTGAAACACTATCGTTTGGTGGGTACATTTTAGCATCTACCAATAAAAGATGATGATTTTTACAACTGTCCATCGTGAGTCTGACAATATTAAAGGAGTGCGATGATAAATCAGTGGAGCACTTGTTTCATGCTACAAATGTCAAACTCGTAGTGGCGCTAGAGGAAAAGTCAGGGGATCACCAAAGTCATTAAAATACATCCTCTGGGCACCATGAATGTCTGTGCAAAATGTCACAGCAATCCATTCCAGTTTGGACCAAAGTGGTGTCCTGGTAGAGATGACCATCCATAGAGTTATGCCGCTCGCACGGCTAAAGAGACATTTCTAAATCAGCTTTGGGAAATGAATCGCCCTTTCCTCTCAGTAAAATGAGACCTCAAGTGAAAACAACTCAACTTATGGAGAGGCCCCCCCTGAGCCACGGAAAAATACAAAATCTGTTCATTTGTATTATGCCATGCAAGGCATCTCCTCCCCAGTGTTTACACCATGCCCTTGTCTTTGAACAGAACCTACCCGAGGAAATATACTCAGCACGGCAGTGGAGAAGTAAAATGTCTGGGGGACAGACTGAAAAATCAGAATGGAACACAAACATATTAATGGGCTCAGAAATTAATCTCACAGATAAAACACGACTGCAGCGCGAGAGGAGAGGTTTTTTTTTTTTGCTAAGGGGACAAGGGAGAATAGAAATTGTACAATGTAAGCAAGTGAAAATTGAGCACACTGCCACTTTGATCACACTTCTGGCTGACAGGGAGGTGCAATTACGACCGTGGGAAGGCAATTATTCACACAACGTATGAAGAACCGACAAGAGAGACGGAGAGAGAAAAAGAGCGTAGGGGGGAGGAAGAAAAGGAGGATGGAGAAAAAGGAAGGAAAAGATGTACAAGTGATAGCACACAGAGGAGGGGAAACAGGACAAAGACGGAGTGATATTGACAGTGGCATCCTCAGATGGACAGAATGACGGGAGAACATACAGCCAAGTCAGATGAGGAAGCAGCCACATTGTGTACAAGCAGCTCACCAGGCACATACTGTAACAAGACAATCAAGGACATGACAGTGCTGCATGCTGCTGGTCAGGCGTTAGGGATCGGGGTACAAAAGCAACATGGAAAGCCTACAGTAGTAGTTATACCTTCATGTATGCCCTGCATGTCTTCTCTCTTTTTTGAAGCTTTTCCACACAACAAGAGGATCAAGCAAAAGAGACAGATTGTAGAAAGAGGCGGTAAGAACACAGGAAGCATTGAATCATGTCACTTACCGTAAATTACGGTATTAATGAAAAGAGGAAAAGGCACAGGTCCATAAACTACAACCTTGAAATGATCCGACAGCTCTAAATGCTTTTCAGGGGAATACTAAATATGAATATGGATCACAAAATAGTGAGGAGAGGAGATGAGAAATGCACAGTAGTGTGGCGAGGGGAAAATGCTGAGACCAGATTCTGAAGCTCCCCATTAGTGATGCTTTAAAATACATTGAGAAGATAAATAATGTGGGATGAGGTCATTTGTATTTCACGGCATGGAGAGAAAAATATAGTACTTGCTCTTTTTTTAATACCCTTTGTTGGTATCTTGGCATTAAATAAGTCGCCTTCTCCTAGCTAATTGAGTCAAACCACAAAAAAAATCACAAACAGTAGCTCTCACACGTAACTGTAAACCAAAGAGATGAAATGTTCTTTGTATCCAGATTACAACCTCCACATCATTAACACCTCCTACAAACACACACAGGAAAATGTTTTTTCAACTAAGACAAGATTGCTGCCATGGACACCAAGATTTACCACTTGTTAGCTGCTTTTACACAGCCTGTGCAAGGCGGGAATGTTGCGCCATTATTCCGCCTCGGCAGTCTGTATAAAAAGCACGAACACAGAATGAGGAGCTGTTCTGTTGTGAGCTGGCAAGTGGTGCCGAATGGACATCTGTGTTAAGCCTAGTTCACATTACACAATTTTCACTGTGATTTTGGCATCGCAGAGGATCTTGAGAGCCACCTTGGGTCGGAGGTGAGTCAGGAGATAGTCTGCCACGACGAGTCCTCATGTGTGAACAAGCCTACGAGCAAATCGCCCCCTCGTCTGTGACTGGGACTGGATATCTGGCATGATAGAAAACTGGAGAAGGCTGACTCGACTGACAAAGAGCATCAGCCAATGAGAGGCGGGATACGTCCCACGTCAGCACACAGGAGGACGGAAGAAATGTGAGGAGGACAAGCTGGCAGGGTTGCCAAGTCCGCTTATTAGCAGCGACTGTGGCTTGTTTCTAAAGTGGAGTTGCTTATTTGGGCTTGCTCTCTAAACGTCACCTTCCTCTATATATATCCATCTAATAAGTTATTTTAATGCATGATAGTTGCTTCTTTTGGGCTTGTTTCCATAGCCCTGGTTGCTTGTTTCTCTCCCAAGATCTGGCAACACTGACAAGCCGGCAGGCAACAACAACAATGGCGGCATCCACAGGATCACGGGGAGCGCGTTGTGTTTGGACCCAGGCCCTGGAGGCAGATCTGATTCAACACTAGGAAGAATATCCATGCCTTTACGATGTGTCGTCTCCAAGTTTGGTGACATCACCGCGTTATCTGGGGCTCTGTTGGTGAGGGCTTGGCGGAGAAATCTTGTGGTGTGCACACACAGGTCGTAAAGCAGTTGGCGAGACTCCCGCTGACAGAAACACAAATCGCCAAGTATGAACACTCAAAAGATTACAATAGTTTCCACGACGCAAAATCAGGGTGAAAATCGTGTAATGTGAACTAGGCTTTAGACGGAAGCTAGCATCACACTGGTTCCCTCGACAAAAAGCCAATGGTATTTTTCCACTGGGTTTTGGATTTCGGAAACTCTGTGATACTTACACATCACCACTTTTCTGGTTTTAGAAGCATAAATGCAATCACCATAAGTAAAAAGCACTCAACAAACAACACTACCATCCCATAACTTAACGTCGCCACCACAACATAGCTGTGAAGCCATGTTCAGCGTGATGACGTTCTGTAGTCTCATTCAGCCACTTGTTAGCAACCACCTTTTCTAAAAGATCTAAAAGCAAAATTTACAAGTAGGATGCTGATGTAATTTATGTGGTAAAGCCAAACGTCAAAGTCTCTTGAGCTTGTGTTAATCACAGATATTATCTCAGGCATCTCACCAAAACCCATTCAAGAAATCCACTGACTTCAAGACAAGGGACCTGGGAGTGCTAAAATGCTACCTGAATCCTGGGTTTTAAAGCTCATTCCTGCAGCACTCTGTGACGGATCCTCTTTGCTGTACTATTGTGAAACTATGTTTAAAAAAAGCTTTTGATCTGTGGAAAAGAGCTCCATGACACTAATAACCTTTTCCCACCGCAATTGCTTCGTATATCCAGATTTTTAAAAAAACAGTTAAAAATAGGCAATAGACTCCTCTCCTACTGACAGTAGATGAGTTTGCCTTTTTGATTTTTCTTTCTGGGTTTCAGCTTCGAAGCCAGTGAAAAATGTTACAGTGGTTACTTTTTTAAAAATCTGTCACTTATTTAGTTCAACTCGGCACCGACACATTTGGAACAATGTTCGAGCCCTGCTTGGACAGAGACAGTTGGTATTTGTGGCTGAGACATAGCATTGTGTGGAAAGAGGGGCAAAAATTAGCACATCCACCCGGGTGTCATGTTTCCATCACTGCTCATCAGTGCCGACTGGAGCTGGAGCCAATAAAAACCTGTGACTACTGCAGAGTCATTTGTCCCCTGAATGCATTTGTACCCTTTCCCACTAACTACAAAAGCCAGATGTTAGTAGGTGTTTGTGAGTTTTTTGTCCAGTGGGAAAGGGGCTTCACGGGACCATACCAGTGTTTCAGATCCTTGAATACCCATCATGTGTATGTGATTTCTAGTAAAGACAATAAAACGTACAAAACCACCAGTACGGTCCTTTAACTTCTGTCATTGTTGCTTGTCATCAGCCATCCCATGCTGTTGTTGTTAAAATGTACAACCCGGTGAGAAACCTGTAAGCTCTTATCTTCAAATGTGTAATAGCAATGTAGCTGTCTTGAACATAAAGGCACAAACAACGGGCGTCATTTTGGTGAAAATAACCTTGTTTACAGCACAACTGCTGTCTAGAAAGTCTGAATAACAATGTAATTTTTCAAACTGTCACTCATCTCTCCATGGGACTGCCTGCAGCTGAGAGAAGTAGGTACGTCTTGGGCCTACTCTTTTCTTGACGAGTGCCTGCACAAGCTCTGGGAGAGAGCAGTTCCACACTTGTCAGCAATGAAGAGTTATTCTTTGTGTTGGTGGGGGGCTCATGGCCATTAGCTCCTTTAAGGTAGAACTGCCAGGTGAGCCTGTGTTTCCAAAGCCGGTAATTACCAGGGAGCTGTAGAGGAATGAGCTTCCCCTCAGGGCCTGACCTGCCTCCCAAGCCCCCTCACCTGAAACGTGTGTGTCCATAAATGTGTGTGAGTGCAAGTCTGCGACTGCGTGTGTTGGTAGGTGTCCCGCTAATGAATTTCCTGAGTCATGCTGACAGAGTTGGGGCAAAAGGGGGACAAAGTTTAGGGCTAGACTGGAATTTCACAGTACCTTGTTGAAGCTGCGTCCAGCTGAGTCCTTCTCGCTGGGTCTGAGCTCCTGCAGCTGAGCATCCAGGATATCCACGAGCTGCTCCATCAGGCGCACAGAGGAGCTGACGTCTCCGGCAAACACGGGGCCCTGTGTGTGGCGTGCCAGCTCGTTGGCTAAATTTGCAGCATTTTCGCCACTTCGGATCTAAAAACAGCATCGAGGAAAACGGGGGTGTCAGGGAAGCAAGCCTGAGATGGTTTTTGCGAGCTGAAATGATTTCTCCCACATACACCTCAGAGTCATAATCCATTGCAACATTGCTTATTCAGAAGGAAAAGCATCATTGTGTGCATAATGAATGTAAACACAAGGATTGCATGTTTAGCAGGGAACAAAACAGCATAACTGTAACACACAAGATGAAGAGAAGGAAAAAAACACCAGTAATGATGAGCTGTCAGTGTGTGTGTTCTCATCTGCGATCAGTGTTTTGCAGCACTTGTTTTGTAAAAAAAAAGTGCTCTACTTTTTTGGCACACCCACCCTCCTCCAAACCGCCTTAACAGAGCTGTGACCCAATTTCATACTAATTTTATACAATATATACTATATACGAATCTTCATGGTATGATGCTTTTGCAGTTGGTATACAAGAAATCAATTTACTTTTCCATTTCGTACCATGAGGAAATGAAGCACAACATGCACGCACATCAATCAAAATGTGACTGAATTCCACTGCCAATTAAACTTCTCAAAGAGAAAGCTAATGCAGCGTTCATGTCATATCATACAGGCCATAATTACCAGTGACTGAGTGGGAACAACTTGCATACCACTCGACTTGCATACCACTCAGATTTCAAGGTGTAATTCCGAGTCAGATATACTAGAATTTTCTGACAAGTGCCAATAAAACTGCGGCATAATGGCTGCACAACAAGTGGGCGATCTGAGGAGGAGCAAGAGGGGATGTCAACCCCCTTGTTAGCAAAATGACCAAAATGTTTCCCCCTTGTTAACCTGCCGTCCCTCTCCATCCCTAGGGTCCAGGCCTATAACCAACAAATTATTGAGAATTATTAATTCAGGAAACTCACAGACCAATTGTGTTAAATCATCTCGCATTTCATGTGATGCTACACAACCAACCTAATCTATGCCGTGTTCTAAGGAGAGAAACGTCGACTGCGAAATCAGCTTTTTATCAAGAATGGATACATGTTCATTCTTCCCGCTGGCAGTTCAAAACCAGTATGTCTCATCATATGTTTAGACCCTGACAATTAATTAATTTCTTAAGATTCTTTTTAGCTTTTTTGCCTTTCTTAGCTAGGACAAATAGACATGAAATGGGGGATGGAGAAGGGGGACATCATACAGCGAAGGGCCATAGGCTGGTACTCAAACCCAGCCCACTGCCAAGGACTCAACCTACATGGGCTGCACACTCTACCAGTTGAACCACCGGCACTTAGACCAAGGCTGGGCGATATCGATTATGTATGATATATCAATATATTTTCAAGCAAGTTATAAATTTAAACAACACCGTTTATATCGATATAGGGTCAAGTTGTGTTACATTAAGCGTACCAGTGTGCATCTCTTCACTCTTACACTCCCAGCACAGCTCTGCCCCACGTTGCACCATGTTGCACGTGCGACGCTAAATCAGTCTGTGAGATGAAATTACCGCAGCACACGTGCGTTTTGTGTGTGAGGTGGATCATAGTGCGTCGCTGTTCTTCTTAGTTGTTGTAGTCTATTTTGTAACATTGAGACAGCGCCTGGATGCAGGTGACAGATCTGATTAAAAATGCAGCGACAGCACAGACACTTCATAAAAGACGTATATAATGCAGATGAAGTGTGTCTCGCTCCTTCCCTCCTTCGGCTTCTCTGTTGATGCTCTGTGCATTAATAAGATTAATTGCACAAATGAATAAAAATATTGAAATCATTTTCCAGCACTAGATTAATCTGGCCATAGAAAACGACTTTTAAACTCTACCCACAAAGATTTTTAATTGTTTCAGACTACACTACAAGGCCTCTGTAGCTTCAGTGCTATGTGCAAAAACATTAATGTACAGCCCAGCTATTTATTTTATATATTTTTTCATTTACATGTTGTGCAGCTGCATATTTTCAAACAAGGAACAAATTTTTGGGCTACATTTTATTTTGATCACAGTCTGTTTTCATAAAAGTGCTTGAGACATCTCAAACGTGGCTTTGACTTGCAACTGAACATGTAGTCCATTTCAGAGAAAATATATATCATGTATCGCCAGTCAGCCTGAAAATACTGAGATATGAATTTTTGTCCATATCGCCCGGCCCTTACTGAGACTCCATCTTTGTAACACGTGGTTGCGCCAGCTTCACTGTGTGCATAATGACGTTCACTAAGTGATAATGTAGCTGGTTATCGAGGGTTTGGAAGCATATAGGGTATATTAACTGGTACTGTATTAATTAACTGGATCATTTTAACGACTGGATACACCGATTTGATTTATTTTAATGTGAAAAATCCACAAGGTTGCTCTCTGGTACAATGGAAGAGGTATTCATTTTAATCATTTCTAAACAGAGTGGACTTCTACACAGTGCTATGTAGTTTTAACATGTTTGTGGATTGCACAGAGAAAGAATAAAAAGACCACCCACATGGACGGTGATTTTGCCTACTGTGCAAACCCCCATCGTTTGCAATAACATCTAAATAAAACTCTACATCAATACTAATACAATCAGTTCTGCCAATTATACATTTTTCGCATTTGGTTTCACTTGTTAATTTGCATAATGTAGTAATGACTGAGCATCCTATTTCCCTTGAGTCACAACGAGGCTAGTAACCATCCTGGAATAATAACTGAGTATTCCTAAATTGGAATAATGTGAGGTATTCCCATTCTTCCTATTATGCCAACATGGATGCAGCATAAATTTGTTTCCAAGCCAAATCATCCCCGTCCGTAATTTGTCTGAATGTTTTGCATCTGTGAGCAGCTTCGAACATCAAGCTGATTTACTGCCTGTCTCTTTAGTGTACTTAGAGTTTTTCAGACTTTTCGAAAGACCTGCACATCATTATAAGTGTAGTATGAAATTGGGGCACAGTTCTTCAGTTAGTCACGTCTACATTTCCCAAAATGCCCGCTGACAGCACCCAGAAACCCTCTCTGAACCTTCTGCAAGTGCGAGGTATTTTTCAGGTCAAGAGAAACTCTTCCTTTGAATGCGATATGTTGTGTGTTTGTGCATTACGGTCCGTTCGGTAACCGTTATCTGAGCGTCTCCATTAGATTTTCTACCTGCATGACTGTTGAACATCAAAGCAGAGGAGTCAGTGAAGAAAGAAGCTCTGGCTCTTTGATTCTCAGTAACTGACTGCAGAGCTTGGCATTTTCTCCTGCTAGCTAATTTCTCTCTGCTACCACACTGTATTTTAGCTTGGGAAAAAAAAGTATTTTTATGATATTTACCCTTGACCAGTCCTCTTGCTAGAATAAGAAAAATCAACCAAGCGAGCAAAAGGGTTCAAAAAAAACATTACCACGAGATGTTTGATTTGAGGTGTGTAACTTGTTTGCTGCTATATTTTTTTAATTGACACATCCCTGCTTTACCTTTTGTGCCACTTGAGTCACCCAGTGGGAGGTGCAGTTGCTGAGATCTGGGCCTTTGGAACACCAGGTCCCTGCCACAGTGCAGAGGAAGGAGGCGATGCCTGCAGGACCACAGAATAAACACAACAGTTGGAAGGAGGCCAAAAACCTTGCTCGGATACAGTTTCTCCTGCTGATCCTTCATTCATACAGACTCTCTGGTGCAGGAAACTAACTGTTGGACAGGAACAACCATTTCCAAACAGTTTGAAAGGCTGCAAGCGTTTTACAGTCTACACAAAAACTGTAGAAGGCTCACTAAAACATTATCAGGTTCCTACATAGCTTGGACAAAACTGACAGACAAAAAACCACAATGGACTCTGGCTTGTTATTGCCTGTAAACATTTCAGAATAGTAAACATTTTTTATGCTATCCATGTCCAAATAGAAATACTCCTAATGAATGCCTCCTCACTGACAACAGCACTGTATGTAATCAAAGACTCGTTCCCTTTTCACCCCCACAGTCAAAACATTGTCTCTTTTTCGCTTTCATCCTCCAATAGCCCAGCTTTGTATTTTGACAGATCTGTCAGTCTCTGTGATGAGGTGTTAAGGTAACTTGCAAGAGATTCCTGTGTGAGTATCATTGTCAACCGATCTGGTATAACAGCACAATGTTCCCCATGCTGCTGACTTCCTACACTTACAGACAAGTTTTTAAAAGTGAGAAATAATACTGTCTGAATGTAATTATGTCAATAAACAGACATCGGTAGCGCTTTCTGTTTCCTAACTTCCCAAATGTTGCCCATCATCCTCGTTGGTTTCTGCGCTCTATTAAGGGGAAAATGGGCAGCAGCATTTTTCTCTCTCCATGTGCTCTCATCACAAAGAGAAATGGGTTTCGAAATAACACACAAACAGGAGCGATGTTGCCGATTTTCAGGGAAGTGGCAGCCTCTAATCACGCTATATTATAGTTTTAAATTTGACATGCCCCCTAGCTGAAATATCACAGACTCAGTACATGGAGGCAAAGATAGAAATAGCACATTACCTAACTAAATAAGCACAAACAAAGTGACAGGACCATTTTTTAATCGTGGATTTTTGTCAGGATCTTTGAGGCTTTGCTCGTGTTCATTTGTATGCTCAAACTGTGATTCTGAGACTCTATTTGAAATGTCTGATTGTTAATGGAGAAAAAAAAAATCCCTGTTTACCCCCTACGGTGTTGTAGTAGCAGCGAATAATCAAGATGATTAAAAATAGTTAGACACGAGATGAAAAAAATAACAGAAGCACATGTAGGCCTATGTGTTAATACAATCAAACACTGTTACCCTTATGGGTTTCTGTTACCTTGGAAACACCTGTGCATTTTACATGGATTATTTTTTGCGACACAGCACTGTTTTTGAAAATGACCACAGTGAAAGAAATAGTAGTGTTACCCAGAGGTGAGACTAAGTCATTGTGTTGCAAGTCACGAATAAGTCTCAAGTCTTCCAAGTCCTTTACGTTGAGTTTTGAGTCCTAAACAAATCACAATTATGGTTGGGGTATCATTCACATTTGGACCGCTGGTTCCTGTTCCAGTAACTATAATTCTTTAACAGTACCCAATGGTATGTTTTTTGGGTATTTATTTTCTCTGTAATAACAAAAATGTAATTTTAAAACAGGCTGCAGGTGTGCTGAGGGAGACGAAGAGCAATTCTGCTCCTCTGCTTTTTCTAATCACACATAGAGCTTGTCTTTTGTCTCTGACAGCTTGTCTAGCAGTTGATACTTGCCTATTACTAAAATAATACAGACAAGAGACCAAACGTAGAAATTGTCGCAGTATATCAGCAATAGTTTTGGCTCAGTGGGAAGCTGACGGAGCGTTTGCTATAGCTTCAAACCCATTGTCCCAGCTTAAGGGTGCTTCCGCCTCCTGTCTGAAGTTGAACCTGGCAGCTGTGCGGAGCTCTGTGTCCAGCTTCAGGGCGCTTTGCTGTACTTCTGCCTCTTGTCTAAACGCGGCATTCTCCCCCAGATGTACCTTCAGATACCAACATTTGGCACCGACGAATTTGAATCCATACTTGATATTACAGATGGAATGCAGCCAAAAGCAACCCTGCTCTCTTGTCCAAATTTTACATCATTTTAACAACAGATTAATAATTCCTTTTTAAAAAATTTTAATTTATCTGTATCTGTCTGTAGGTTTTGGCCCGCACGCTTTGCATACTGCAATTAGCTTTTTTGTTGACCACGACGTCGCCGTGTTTTTGTACGGAAACAAAATTATCTTTGGTGTGATTTTTTACAGGTAGTAGGTAACGTAACTTAAGTTCTCCGCTGATACTTGACTGGGTGCTGTCGAATTGGTTTAAACAAAGTGGATCTGACAAATTAAGTGTTGACTTGCTGGGAATTAATTGCGTTTATGTTAGCTGATTCAGGAAATGAAGGAAATAACTTGTTTTGGGGCACAGTTTTAAACAATGTACTTTTTAATCTTTGGGCTTTGGGGGAAGTGTCACGTATTTCCAGGTGTTGGCTCAAGTCCAAGTGAAGTCACAAGTCTTTGGTGCTAAAGTCCAAGTTGAGTTGCAAGTCTTTCTGATTTTGTCAAGTCGAAAGGAATAAAATTTGTGACTCAAGTCTGACTCAAGTCTAATTCATGCGACTCAAGTCCACACCTCTGGTTCTAGCAATCCATTAACGTTCTATACAGCACTAAAAATATTAATAGAATACAGTAAAAATATAAAGACAATTTTTAAGAACATTATAAAATGCTATTATTGTGAATCAAACACTCGCACACAGATGGCAGGCCTACCTCTGGTCCCTTTGGGGCAGGGCCTCTCCACAGTGCTTCCAGTGTGGGTCTGGGGCCAGTCGATGGCTCTCCTCCTGGTCGCCTCACAGAAGCGCCTGGGCGTTGGTGGCAGCTCAGGGACGGTGGGCTCTGCTGTCCCTGTGCCACGGCTGTCCTCAAACGGGTCTCTCCCATCTCTTGGATCTGCTCCTGCTACAGTGGTGTCACCCTGCCCCTTCACAGTAGACACGGCGGTGGTGGTGGTGACGACTATGGTCTTTGGCATGGATGATGAGACTGAGAAATCTTCGCTGGTTGGCACTAGAGTGAGAGAAGAGTGAAGCTGTTAGAGCTGGAATCATAAATGTCCTTGCCTTGAACTCCCATCGTCTCTAGCAGTGGGGGAACTGCAACTGTTTGGAGTCCTGTGGCTTATTGGTATTGCTAGAGTTACTGCTGCCCATAATTCCTGGAAATAAAAAGCTTCGTGCTGCTTTCACTTGTAACTCCACCTCTTTTCTGCTCCTTCCCTAAACAAAATCAAGGCAATGCTGCCAACACGACACATCTATCTCTTGCTATTTTTATTTTACTTAAGCCCATAAATAAGACAAGCAGCGGTGGTGGTGCATCCTTTGACATCGCAGTGATTTCCTCCCAACAGAGTCAGTACCCTGGGCTGATTAAATGTCAACAATGAAGACAAAGCCTGTCTGCATTTTGCTTTTTTTCTGCCTAGTTCATCTCTCTCACTTTGATAAAGCTGGTGTGCGGAAGGAGAACTGCACTGCTCCGAGCAAAAAACATACATCAGCAATAATGCGATTCCACTGTATTCAATCCACGCCTACCCTGCAAAGCAAATCTATGTGTGAATGTGCACACGCACGTGTGCAAGTGCACTTGTGTCTGCTCCATTGCTCAGGTGTGTTCCTGCTTAAAACCACTGCCTGTGCACAGATGGATAGCTGCTGCAGAGAGCTGGGAGATAACTAGGAAATGAGAGCAGGGATAGGAAATCTATAAATTTTATACAGTATGAATAGACAATATGAATAAAAAAGGACGACACAGTGAATGTTTGTGTGTGTGTATGTGCGTGTGTGCGTGCGTGCGCGTCTACAAAGATATACTGCTCTGCTGTATGAATGATCATACATTTTTACCCACAATCACCTGATTGTATTTAGAGATAAAAGCAGCCTCTCACAGTAAGGTCTGCTGTTGTGAAAGGCACTATAGTGTTGTCTTCTCGTTCCCTGGGTGCTTCTGGGAAAATGCAATATCATGCTATCTGACACTCCATCATCAGACACATATCTCCATTTCCTGAGAGAGAACAGTGACAAAGCCCACATTTCACGTTTCACACTAATCAGTCAGTCAGGGGAATCTTTGCTTTTTCATTCCTGTGAAATATCTGAGTTTATTACAAAGCCGATATCTAGCTACATCTGGTCAGGAGGCCACAGCAGGGAGGGATCGGTGTTGCTGAGATGCTTACAATAAAAAAATAAATAAACTCAGAACCTCCCTACAGTGTTGGCTGAGTTGTGACATTTTACTCAATGACCTTTTCCCCTGGCAGCAGCTCTGGCTAATTACCTTACACTCTTTCAGTCATTGTGCGTCTGTCACCCACACATTCACATGCCTGCCAGGGTGCAAGAAGTAACAGCTGACATGCGCGGTTAACAACAGTAGATAATCATGAAGTCTTCTGTTTGCACCCACAGCGATGAGGATGTTAGGAATAACACCAAGGAAAGAAGAGACCTGAGATGATTAGAAATTTCTTTCTATATTTCAGTCCAGTCTCTTAGAAATTATTTTCATATATAACTAATCTGAAACAGGAAAAACGTTTTCAGGGAAACGTAATACAGAGCGAAGAACGTTTTCTATTAACATAATGAGGAAATGCTGCTAAATAATGAGCTACAGGGAGGTTATTCTTTTGTTACCTCATTTTATTACTATTTAAACGAAATCACAATCTCTCCCTAAAATCAACCAAAGAGCCTTTTTGTTTTTTTGCCTAAACCCAAGTAGGGAGTCTGGACACGAACCTGAGGTTGTGGTGTTGTAGTCCTGCACTTTGTACGCCCACCATCTTCCCAAAGCACCTCCTTGCAAAGCCCACACAGTGCCTCAATGAATTGTTTCCTTACATGAAAGAAACATTGTCTCTGAACATAATCCAGGCAGCGATCATGCTGTCACCACATCGTAATTAAAAATGCAGTTTAGCAACACACAAACATTTCCAGGAGACAGGGTTGTATATTTCCTTGTGGAAAACAGGATCACTTCTTCAGACGATATATAAAGTACACTTTGATTAAAAAACTTTTATTTTTCCCTAAACGAACAAACAGCTCGCCATTAAAAAAGGAGGTTGCAAAAAAAGTGTTTCAAATATATTATATAGTGCCAGTGAAGATTTTTTATTGACTCAGGAGAAGTGAGATGATTCATACGCTGACTCTGTTGATTCAATATACGCATATAATGCAATAAAAGGGCAAGTGTAATTGGGTTTGAGAATATTAAACCTCTCCATACCTGAGCAAATGTCTGCTTCTCCACAGGCTGATATGAGCCCTAATATACATCTGCCTGTAACAGCTTGCTTGCATCACCTGATTAACCTGCTCCTGAGATGCTTATATTGTCCAACTCATGAGTCCAAAGCCCTCTGCCGCCCACACCTCATCATAAATTATCATACAGTTCGCAGCCATAGCTTGTTCGCTCTTGGCATTTTGTTTTAATGTTTTTTTATCGTCTTGGCAAATGATTTTTAATGGCACATATTATCATTAGTGATTCAGTCAGTTCTGAGATGATGCAAGGAAATGGGTATATTAAGTGCAAGATACAGAACAAAGAAATATTTTTGTGTTTGCAATAAAGTCCTATTTTCATTATCGACTTATCTGACGATCATTTTATTGATCAATCATTTAGTACATGCATTTATACATGTCACAAAATCGTGCAAAATGTCCACCAGTTTCCCAAGGTTACATCTTCAAATTGACTGTTCTGTTCAATAAAAAAAATTTAAAAATGTAAAATAAAATATATGATAAATAAACAGGTGTGAATTCGCAATATCAAATCAAATCAAATCAAATTTATTATATATCACCGACCATGAACATGCATCCACGTGTTGCCTCTTTTTTGCCATTTATCATCTGTCCTTTGGCTCGTGACCAGCCTTTCCACAAAAATGTGAATCCATTTGGACATTATGCACCTTTTTGCAATTGTCACTCCCATGGTCACACCCCTTTTAGCCAATTGGCATGAACACAAAAACACACACACAACCTCAATGCCAAATTTCAGCCTCCAAGGCCAACTGTGGCCGCCAAACAGTGGAGACATTTTTGAGGGCCAACCATGCGAGCCAGCTGTAGAGCTGCTGGTAGCTGCTGAAATGATTACATTTATTATCACTGAAGGCCAAGGAAGCAAATATGTATCCACATTTTGAACCTGAGTGAAATATTTTGGCTTAAAAAGAGACTTTAATACCAATTCCAGTCTAACAAACACTACTATCAAACTAAGCTTATCTGCTTTGTCAGGACTGTGTGGGGGTTGTTGAATCCAATTTCATTGATAGCAACCATTCAAATGCTGCTAAAACCCTACTGGTGCATGAAAACACGGGACCACCCCATTCTCTAAATTAGCCCCGCCTACTTCAAACCAGTCAGGATGGCGCAGAGAAAAAAAACAGAAACACAAATCTCCTCTGTGAAATAATTAAAACTGTTGCAACTTTGGCAGAAAACAATGTGCTTGTGAAGAACCACATTGATCATAGCAAGAAACTGATTAAGAAAATATGTTTTCAGGGCCTTTAACGATGAAGCCATTATATAAATTGTTGCCAAATAATTTTCTGCTAATCGTCTTGGCTCTTTTTTTGTCCTGTTTTTAAACTTTCCAAATGACAACATGCATGTAATTTGTGGTATTTCCATCATGCCTTTTGTTTGTTCAAAAATACATGCATTTCCAAATGATTACCCATTGTAAAACATAATTTGTTGACAATTTAGAAAGGGCTGGTGTTCCTGTTTGAGCTGGAGTAAGCGGTCAAGTGACTGGTTGGTCAATCAGAGAATTTAGAATTATTTTTCATTTATCAAGCAGAAGTTCCAAATATTCTCTGGTTTCAGCTCTAACAATAAGGTCTGTTTCTGCCTTTCTCTGTTTAACCATTTTTAATTTAATACTTGGGATTTCAAACTGTTGATCTGATGACTGTGACAAAATAACCAATTTGAAAACATCACCTTTTCTGCGACATTACGATAGGCACTTCTCACAATTGTCTGACAACTCAGAGACCAAATGATTTATTGATTGAGACAATATTTGGTAGATTAACCAACAATGAAATGCATTTTAGTTGCAGCTGTAATCCCTTTAATCACTCACAAAATCCAACACAGATAAAAACCTAATGAACATTATATATTCTATAATCATACTGTAGTCTAGTTTCTGACAAAAGCACCACATTTACATATTTTTTTCCCAAGTAAATATATTTCATGCTAGGAGACACTTGGTCATTGTCTCTCTCATGTTCACTCTTTCAGGCAGAGTCATGAGATCATATTAATTAGACGGGGCACTCAGTTGTCGACTGAGTGATTTTTTTTAATCAAAGACAAGATGCTATCTTTGTAGATATTTACAGTCAGCGTGTCTTGGGTTATCGGAGTGTGATTGTGAAGGACATGGAGAACATCAAACAAACAACATATTTATTTAATACCAAGTCAAGTTATGTGCTTGCCAGATGTCGAAGCATTTGCGGGCTTATTTTGATGTCTCTGCACCATGCGCGCTACAATTTTCTTTTGATTGCGAAGAACAAATTCCCCTCCAGTGAGAGCCTCATGTCCTCTGATAGCACTCAACCAGAGAGAGGGCTGCTCCAATTAGCTGCCATTTCTCTCAAGAGGCAGTGAAGTCACTCTTTATGGGCAATCTGACACCAAAGGCATACTGTTGCCATATGCTGAATAATACCTCTTGTAAATAATGGAAGAGTTTGAGATTGAACACTTGACAAATGGCTGTCACCCGAGTCTAAAACGGAGTGTGTAAATTAAAGCAGAGCTAAAAGGAAGGAAAACCATTATGCAAGATCATCAATCAAGACATCAGAGATGAAGCAGAATTAGTTTTATCACTTTATAGCCCCCCAGAGTCATTTATGTATCTGCGAGAGGGAGATGACAAAAAATATTAAACCACAATCAGATGATCGGAGGTCTAGATATCATGTT